GAAATGCTCTAAAACCCTCCAAAACATTGATCAGGGACACTCCTGTTAAAATGCCAGGTGACAACCCAGGTGGGAGAAACTCTTGGCAACCAGAGCAAGAAGCCAAAATGAGTGCAGCAATGTGAAGAAAATAAGATAGAATTTTGCAACTTAACTGTGTGCAATTAAGTGCACAGGAACAGAAGAAATGCTCCCCATCCACCTCAAAGTGGCTGGGAGTGACAAGCTGACTTGCAAGACCAGGAGAATGAAACCAGGAATGGTGAACTGGCTCTTCAAAGGAGATCCAGGCAGCAGAGAGCAACTCCACAGCCCTGGGGCCAGCAAACACGGACCCACGGGCAAGGGCTGGAGGAACCAGGGTTCTGCAGCGCAGGAGGGCAGAGGGACATAGGGCCTTGAGCGAGGGGCTTAAGCTGCACTGAAGAAGAACCAGGAAAAGAGCTTCTCCACAGCCATGCCATGCTGCCAGTTATCCTTCTTTAAAACTTCCAAACATTCATGTGTGGGCAAATAAAGCTCATGTCTGTTCAACAACCACATTTACAACCTTGACACCAAGCCAGATGCACCCAATTCAGGGTTATTTCCTCCCAGCCAAAGGCCAAGGAACAGAAGCCAGGAGGTGCCACCTTGCAGCAGGAGATGCCTCCACAGATGCCCCAGGGATGCTCTGCCAGGGTTGTGCATCAGCCCCAAAGGACCCATATCTTGCCCCAAAGGAGCCAGCGCAGTTGGAAACACACCCCAAGGGATGAGACAGTCAAATATGAGCCCCCTAAGTGCCAGATTTTAGATGTCATTTTTCAGGGGAACCCAAAGGACTCCCCAAAAAGGATGCTCACAGCCACAGACCCATGCTGGATGCTAGCAAAAGAGAGAGCACAGGGAGGTGTGTGGACCTCCAGAGACAAGCAGCTTGTTCCTCAGCATTCTGGAAATGAGAGGCACAGCACTGCAAAAAGCTCCAGGCACATTCCCAACATCCTTGCAGCTGGGGGACAGCTGAGAGGAGAATCCCTCCATGTACCTGAGAAAGCAGAAAGTGCCCACCTTCCAGGGCACCCTCCAAAACAGATAAGGATGCAACCAGGAGTATCTCTCCACAATGCGCAGCGGCAGCTATCTCACAACCCCCCTCATTCACCTCCTCCTCCAGAGCCTGCCGGCTGCCCTGGCTTTAATCCCACAGGCAGCATCATGCCAATAATTTCCTCCATTTTCAATCTACTTCCCTCCATTTTCAATCCACTGATCTGGGGGGAGTCCACAAATCCCTTCATCCTGAGAGTGAAGCAATCTACTGCTTCATCTCATCCCATCTCCATTTCTCTAATCCCTGGAAACAGGAATGAGGTTTGGAGCACATGGGCTGCTCCAGAGCAGTCTGTCCAGGAACTGTGGGACAGAAACATGGGGGCTGGGGCTACTCTCATGAATGCCACCCAACTTCTCAAAGCACCTGGGGCAGTTCCAAGCCCCTCCTGATCCAGGGATGGGGGAATAGGTCTTCCCACTCCCCCCAGCTGCCATGCTGGAGACGTAAGGGACAGATTAGGTGCAGCACAGAAACATGTGGGGATCAATCAAGGGTGATGGGAGGAGTTACAAACACCCTGGTCCCATCAATCCCGGTCGAATCCAGTGCTCTTTATCTGCAATCCCAAACCTATGATTTTTCACCCTGGCCATGGATACTCTTTGGGAATGGTAGACTGATCAGTGGGAAATGGGACTATTGTTTCTGCCTTCCCTGGAGTAGCAACCCAGCACCCTGAGGGGCTCGGTCAGGATGCAGACTGACCCCATCCCTCCTTTGCCAAGCACCCACTGGTGCAGGGCTGGAGGAGGCGGGAGCAGGGGATCCCACACCAACGGCCACCACAGGACGGTGTCCCACCCGACACTGTCCCCAGCCCAAAGGAAGGGGCTGCAGGGTCATGTGTGACAGGGCCGTGTGGTGGCTGTGCTGGGCTGCACTGTCCCCATCCTGCACAGTGCTGGCTCTCCCCGCTCCAGCTGGTGAGGAGGAGGATGGGGGCCCTCGGCATCCGGGGGTGGATCGCCAGCGTGCTGCGCTCAGACCCTGACAGCAGGCTCCAAAACTGTCACTCCCGATCTGTTTTCACTTCAGCTAAACCTCAACCCCGATTACAATCAAGGAGAGCCGCCTCTCCTTTCCCCTTCTCCCTGTGGTAGGTCCTCTGTAACCTCGGGTCTCAATGCTGAGCCAAACCCCAGCCAGGCTCTGCTGGGAATTGGGGCTGTTGGAGATGGGGTCACGACTGCTCCATCCCCAAACCTGGCCCTGGAAGTGAGGGCACAGGCACTGCAGTGGTTGTATCCCTGAAGGGCCGTGGGTCTGTCAAAATCCATGGGGGATGCGCCACCGATATCACCAATACCACAATCTGCCTCTGCCATGGGTGTTATCCAGCTCCAAGGTTGCATCCATGCAATGGAAGGGGTTTGGTGGCAGTAGGGTGCCCCCACTGCCTGCTGCCAGCTCACTTAGCAACCCCCAAATTAAATAAATAAATTAAACCAGATGTGTGTGTGTGCATGCGATCATAGAACCAGGATGGATGTGTTCAGCAGAAAGCTGGGAAAAAGCTCAGTGGATGGAGACAGCCCTCATCGACTGGGGAAGCTTTCAAATTCCCTTTCCAACTCAGCTGGCCATAAAGCAGCTGCAGAGAACCATCAGACTCCCGTCATAGGGGCTGTCACCCATCCTCATGCTGCAGGACTAGGGGGCTCAAGGGCAGAGGTGCCACCCTGTGGGTTTGGGGACCGTCCCCTGCTCTCCAAAGGCACACAAAGCCTGCAGTCAGGGCTCCCAGTGCTCCACTACCATCGGGACCAAGCTCATCCCAGTGTGCCAGGCATGTCCCGTCCCCACCACGGAGAGCCGTGCCACCAGCAAGGTGCCCTCTCCACCTGCTCCACAACAAACACCCATTTTCCAAGAGGGGGCCTGGAAAAAGCAACTGATCCCTTGGGAAAAGCAATCCTGGGACCACCAAAGCAGCATGGCTGGCTGGCACCTAGGGGAGTATCCCTCAAGGTGGGAAGTGAGCAGCTCCCCGTGCCCCCTGGTCCACCCCCAAAGGGAGCTGGCCACCACTGAGGGATTTGCTCCATCCACCAGCAATCCCAACAGCATTCCTCTTCCCGCATCCCCCGCTACATTCCCGCAGCTTCACCAATGCTATTTTGAAAGCATTGAAATAATGTTGGAGGCACTTATATAGAGATTTGTCCCAGCAGCCTTTTGTCCCCACCTCAAAATGACCATTTTTCTTTGAAGGAATAAGCATCCTCTTAATTCAGCAAGATTAAAAGAACATTTCCTGCAGTTATTTCCCAAGAAGAAAAATTTGCTTTTGTGTCTGAGAACGCTCAAAATATTTATATAAACAAATCCCTAAAGGAAAGGGGGAAGTCTGAGATTAAGGGCTTTGGAAATATTACTGAGTTATTCTAGAATTCTGCATTAAGAGCAAAACCCCAGTTATTAGGAAAGAATGCCTGTTGTTTTTTTTTTTAATTCAGGGTTGGGTTTCTGTATCAAAATGCAGCCTAGCATCTGTCCTTGCATCTGTCAAAACAAAGGTCAATCATTTTATGGAAACTTAAACACAATGTCCTTGAGCTAATGTTTATTTCTTGTTTATTTTTAAGCTGGATGTGACTTCCAATTAAGATTTTTTATGATGGTTCACATTCAAATCACATTATCCCAGAAATCTCAGATTATGAGAAAAACATATCTGAGGATATTTTTCCTTTATAGTATGGAGATGATAATTTGGGGTTGATTTCCACAGCTTTTAAGTACTCTACAACATTTGCCACTAATATTTCACTTTTCTACTTATAAAGTGATCATGAAACCAAGGAAAATACAACAGAAATATGACAGTATCAGGAAGAATTTTCACACCCTTTTTGAGGAAAACAGGTATCTGAGGGCAAACAGAAAACAAAGTGAGCATCATAATAAAAGGGATTCCTCTCTCTGAATCAAATTTCCCCAGCAAAAGGAAAGAAAATGAATGAAAATAGGATGGAATTAAATAATAAGAATATTTATAGCATTAAAAATTAATAGATGTGGAATGGAAATAGAAATATTTTTTAAAAATACTGGAACTAGAATGGAATTCAAAATAAAAATAAAAGAATATTAAAAGTTTGGAAATATACTGGAACTAAAAAGTAGAAATACCTAAAACTAAACAAAACAAAATAACAGAAGGTAAAAATCAAATTAATCAGGGTTGGGGGTTTTATTATGTAGCCACACTACGACATGATTAACATCCCTGTTATTTTAGTGTCCACTCCTTGAAGGCAATTCCATTTGTGCCATTCCCACCCAAGAGCACACACAAGTGACACTGTCCAAAGCCTATGCTGCAAATCATGGAATTTAGGAACAGCTGGATATTCTGGTTAAGGAAGAGATGGATGCCTCCCTACCCATGGTGGCACTGGCTGCTGGGCATGGGTAAAATGGAATTTAACTAAAATAACTAATTTAACTATTTAATAAATAATTTAACTAAAGTGCACGCTTCGAGAACAATGATTTTGCAAAACAAAGTTGCAGCAAGATTTGTCAAATTTAACTCACAAAAAATATTTGGAAATTTTTTTTTTTTGCAAAAACAAAACCAAAAAGATATTTGGCAAAATAATTTCCAAAAAATATTTTGGGAATTTCTAGGAGAGACTTGGGGAGCAGCCGCTAACTTAAGGGAATCCCATTGCTTGCGTTCCAATGTCTCCCATAATCCCACCTCACACTGCCACAGATGTAAATTTCCTCCAGGAGAGATTCCCTTAAAACTGCTCCTAAGCATTCAAAGCTCTTCCAACCCACACCAGAGCCCAGGACCCGGCTCATTCCAGGACTCTTCCCTGACTTACACTGGTGGGAAAAGTTGCCCGCGGCGGGTGGTCTTCCACCAAGACAATCTATTAAATCTCCTTACCTTTCCCAAAGAACCGCTTTCGTGCTGCTTTGGCGGGAGGGGGATCCAGACAGATGGCCAGTCTTTTCACGTTTGGAAAGGATGAAAAATGCTACAGGGGGAAAAAAAAATCCCAGTGATTTTTTTCTTATTCCGCTGTTCAGCGCAGAAGGGCTCCCAACCTCATTGGCCCTGGGAGATCCACCACGTGGCATGGGATGAAGGGCACGTGACCTATTTTCTCCCAAATCCCTGGGTTTGCTGGAAAGGGGGATGCACCCACTGCTGATGTTCTTGTCATTTCATGGACTTTGATTTATTTATTTATTTTTATTATTTTTTTAAGGCCACTGAGCAAATCTGGATGCCCTGAGGTGATGAGGGCGAACCATCCAACACTTCCAACACAAAGGAGAAAGGATCTCAGCATCAGATGAGCTCTGGTGCGCTGCCTGTGTGAAGGGGGAAATTTAGGCATGTTTTAGAGTGTGCCTGCCCACCCAGTGCAGGGCCAGAGCTTCCAGGAGGGACAGGCGGGCTGTGCTAAACCCTCCATCTCAGAGGCAGCAGCACAGTGGGAAGGAGCAGGCTGAAGCCCTGCCTGCACATCCCAGAGTTCAGCTGGCTCCCTGCAGGAAGTGGGTATGTTACAACTGCTCCATCACCCAAACCAGATGATCTCCTGCCCCGATGTTGCTCCTGACCCCTCCTCAGCTGTGCTCATCCTCTGCTGCCCTCCTGGCTGATGCACCCAACAACTGCTCCAAAAGATGACAATCTCCTCTGGAGGCTGCTGGAACAGCTTTCTGGGAAGCTGGACCAAGAGCAGGGAGGGAGCGTGGCACGCTCTGAGTGGGCACTGCCCACTGCCACCAGCCCTTGGCCACGCCAGGCCCAAAAGGTGTTTCAGTGTCCTGCCCCACAGATACTCACCCAGCCCAAAATGCAGCACAATTCTGGGCATCCCAAAAAGATCCCCAAGACTCTGTGGAGCAAAGAAAGCCAAGCCACTGCTCTCAGTATTTGATTTTGACTGTTGCTGGTGGTGTACCCTGGTCCCAGCTCTGAGCCACCACATCCCAGCTGGCCATGGTACACAGGCCAAGCATCTCCTGTCCTTCCCTCAGTAGCCAGGGCAGGTACCAGCCCTTTGGTGTCCAGACATTCCATTTGGGGAAGGGAAAAGGAATTTTTGGAGCCCTCAGATATCCTCATGTTTTGTCCATCAGAGCTCAAGCCAGTTGGACCAGCCAGAAGAGGCATTTTTCTGGCAACTCAAGTCTCCACTGGGCTGTGCCAGCCATTGGCTGTGCCATCTTTCCATGCCACACCTGTTCACCTGAAAGCTACGGCCAAATCTACCTTGGGCATCTACCCCTAGTAGAGCCCTTCTGCAGAGCAGCTGTCCCCAGCCACCCCATCACCCAAGGGCTCAAGACCTTTTATCCAGGGGGGGCACCTAAGGCTCCTGGGAGGACCAGCTGAGCTTGGTGAAGCAGCCATGGCCACCTCCAGCCCTTCTTGGCATCACCACCATGTTCCAAATGCTGGTTCTTCCTTGCAGATGTTCCCCTTTCACGGCTCTGCACAGAGACGGGAAGCATCAGAAGCACAGCCCCTAATTCCAGATTCTTCCTGAGGCCAGACTGTCTTACCATGCTGTTCCCAAAACCACAAGTACAGCCATAAAAGGCCTCAAACAGTGTAGAAAAGTGCAGGGTTTCACCCAAATCCTCTCTGGCTTGGAGGATCACGCTCCAGCCACATCATGGGGCACTCTATTCCAATAAATACACACTGAGGGAGAAACTTCCCACACTAAAATTTTCAAACGCAAACTATGGCCACAGCCCAAAGCACCCAGCTCGTCACTTGCCCTTCCCATGTTTTCTGATGGCCACAGAGAAGAAACATGAGCACCCTGGGATAGTGGAAGGTGTCCCTGCCCACGACAGGGTTTTGGAATGAGATGACCTTTAAGGTCCCTACCAACCCAAAGCATTCCATGATTCTGTGGTTCCATAAACCCCCACCCCATCTTTCAGCCCCCTCCTCCTTCCCCAGCAAAGCTAAAGCTGGGTCCCCAGTAATCTTCCCAATAATTATATAATAGAGAGGCAGCGGATAAATCATTTCAGGCCACTGTGCCGACAGAAAGCAAGCTGGATTAAAAGATCAGAACAAGCAATACTTAGATTAAAATGGTTTGTTATTTTCAGCTGTGGGAAAAAATCTGTGGCTAAAGCACAGAAGACACGAAACAAAGGTGCATCATCTTCTTTCCCCCCAAAACCTGACCTTTTTACGTATTAGCCAAGACAAGTTCTAAGTTTCCAACCTCAAATCAGGTTTTGCTTCCCAATAGTTAAAAAATGCACTTTGCCAGTTCATATGACATTTTAGCTAAAGATTAATAGATGCTTCAAGTTGTTTTTTGCCCACAGGAAGCCATCAGAGCCCTTAACTCAGGAGAACCAGTGCACGGCTTGGCAGATAACGTCACTGCCTACGAAAAATGTGGCTCCTGGCACGATGGGCACCAACCCCTTTCCCTTGTCCCATGCCTCCCCACACCCCCGAGCTGATGGCAGGCGCTTGCCAGGCTTACCGGCAGTGCAGAGGTGGCAGTGGCAACTGGGAGAAGCCCATCAGACAGTGGGATGTCTCTCTACAGGGACCTATATGTTGTCCCCCTAGCCCCCAGCAAGGTCAGCAGCTCGGGGTGCTATGCTCTGACTGATGGCTTTGGAAAGGCGTGAAGGGGAGGCAGGAATAAAAGGGGGAGAGAGGGAGGTGGTGCTGGGGGCTGAGCTCTTCCTCAGGGCACGGCGCTCATCAGCCCAGTTTGGATCGATGGGTGATTCACCTTCAAGTTCAGATTGAGCAGAAGGGTCAAACTGGGAAATGGTTTGGCACTGGCAGGCATGTCCCCATCACCACCCTGCAGCCTCATGTCACAGCTGTTTGCCTTGCTGGAATGGACAATTCCCACCCGACAGCATCTCCAGAATCAGCATTCCCATCTGAGCACATTGCTAACCCCGTAGAGTTTCCATCTTCCAGCATGACCAGTGACCACTCATCCCATCACCCGGATGGGAGATGGAGCAGCAGTTTTTTCAGTATAAAGTACCAGAATATCCTGAGTTGGAAAGGATCCACAAGGATCATCGAGGCCAGGTCTTGGCCCTGCACAGGACAATGCCCACAGTCCCACCTTGTGCTCTTCCAGGTGTCTCTCCCAGCTGTAGTTTTGCTATAAAAACATCACGGTACCACATACACAGGATCAGCCTTGAGTTCCGACGATGGAATCCCATGGGGCAAGAGGTCCAGGACACAGCCTTGGGGAGGGCTTGGACAGAGACAAGCACCAGGCTCCTCTCCCTCCTGTGGATGTGGGAGAGGGGCTGGGACACAGACCTGGGAGAAGGGATAGGATGGTGGACAGGGAGCATGAGAAGGCATAAAAGTTATGTCAGAGGCCTTACCAGAGGGAGATGGGAGCTATGAGATATTGTGATGTTCACCAAAATTTCACCTTATATTGTAGGAAAGTGTATTCACTAAAGCCAGAGAATAAAACACACTTGCTGGACAGGTGATGGCGGAAACTCAGACCAGACACAACCAGTACCCACCACATCACCAGAGGCCATGGGTAAACCTCCTCACAGTTTTCTTTGGCAAGTTCTATCCTTGCTGCAGCTTACTGGGTCACCTGCGGCTCCACTGGGAAACCTCCATCCCCCTATCCAAAACACACCCTTGTGCTGCAGGTGCAGGCTGTTTGCTCCGGCCAGTCTCTCCTGATGTTTTCCGGGCAGAAAACAGGGATAAGTAACACTCATAAAAGGAATGGGAGAAAAGAGAAATGGATTTGTCTGTTGGTACATTTCTGCTTTATGGAGCTGTCTTCTCCCTCGGAGACATACATCCTCCCCTCCACTAATGGAAATGTTGCCCTGCCTTCCATTCGTGCCAGTCAATGGCTGGGACAACACGATGGCCTAGGGCCACTCCGGATCTATTTTAGTCACAAAAGCAGAGCGGCTGATGAAAATCACTCCGTCTCTGCACTTCCCAGCTTAGCTCTTTTGCTGGTTTTAATGGAATGGCCAGCGTGGTGGAAAGCAGGCGGCGAGGGCAGAGACGGCGGGTTGAGAGACCTGCACAGATGCAGGAGAGAGGCCCCAGCACCCTCCCTGCGGGTGTTTTACAGCCTGATGGACCTGCAAAGATCGCTCCTCCCAAGATTTGCCCAGAGAAGCTGTTGCTGCCCTGTCCCTGAAGTGTTCTGGGCCAGGTTGGATGGGGCCTGTGGAAGTGTCCCAATGGAACAAGATGAGCTTTAAGGCTCCTTCTAATCTGAGCCATTCTGGGATTGTATGACTTGGAAAGGACCTTACCTTACCCTACAGGATGGCCTCAAGCTCCAGAGTGATTCCTGGGAAGGTCTGGCTGCACCAGAAAAGGGCATGCTGAGCGTGGGGGGGAATCCAGCAGTCCACGGCACAAGCCTGCAGACAAGGACACAGCAGAGGTTAAAGCACGGCACAGAGGAAAGACAAAAGCCGCTTAATGTGAACTTGACAGAGAAGTAAAAGACTGTGTTGGGGGTCAGGGGAGAATGATCAAGAGCATCAAGAGCACCTCCAGGTTGTGTTTAGCTAGGCAAGCAGATTTTTTTTTCCTACATTGCAAACAGGTTTGGGCAGATCCTCAGCATCCACCAACCACAGGAAATCATCCTGTTGAGGAGGAGATCCCTGGAATGACAGAGAGACTCCATGGTGCTCACAGCCCAGCAGACCTCCTCTGTGGTCACCTCCCTGTGGCTGTGCCTAGCTGTGGAGCCAGGAGCCTACTTCCTGCAGAAATCCAGCGGTGGTAGAAAGGATCCAGCACGTTTCAGCGCCATGGGTTGCAGGTGCCAGCTGAATTTTTGCTGCTGCTCCCAGTAAGTTAAGTGGGGCATGCACTACCCATCAATACAATCAATGGAGCAGCCTCAGCCACTAATAAACTGAGTGCCAGAGGGCTGGAAAACCTCTCCACTACCCAGAATATTCCCCAGGCAGCAGGGTGAGTGAGCTGCAGATCCCTTGCTTGAACTTGGTGCTGCTCTTAGTGTGCTGGGGCACCTTATGTGTTAACAGGGAAAACCTGACTCTCTCAGTGACTCAGCAACCTCCGTGCTCATCCCCAGTACCTCGGCACTTCCCTGCCATGGGAAGGAGCTTGTCAGTGGAAGGGGAGCCCATGGGACCTCCTGAAGTCAGTCTTCAGCCCTGCTGATGCTCACAACAGCATCAGCACTAAGGTCAGAGTGGGTTGCCCAGGGCTTTATCCCTTTGGGGCTGAAAACCTCCAAGGATGGAGCATACACAGCCTCTCTCAGGAACCAGCTGTCCTCAGAATTTATGGTTTTTCTCTCAACAGTTCTCTCCATGTCCTCCAAGGTACTGGCTACATCCCCAGCTGGTGTCACCTACAAGCAGCATAGGTGCCAGGATGGACTCTGAGGGATTTCCCTGCTCTCCACTGAGCCTACACCAGCCAGATAAATTTTAAATCCCAGTAACTGCTGCAATCACAACATCCAGTCCCATGGGCTCTGGCCAAAACTAAAAGCCTGGAAAGGATGGAAACCTCAAAGTGTGACTCACCGTTGGAAGATCCGCAGGGCCAGGTCAGGGATCCCGTGGAGTTGGTGGTCAGCAGTGCCGGAGGCAGGGAAGGATCTGGAAGACAGCACATGCTGAGGAGGCCAGGCAGCCCCCCCACCTGGAATCTACAGAGCATCCTCCTAGCCCTGCCGCCATGGCCAAGGGCAACACAGGGAACAGGGAAGCCCAGGGCCAAATCAGAGGAGTCCTTGGTAATTGTTTTATTCCAATCAGTACCAATTGCTGGTCACTGATTCCAGGATTGATAACAAGAAGGGAAAATCCTCATCATGGCACCAGTCTCATCTACATACCCATGGAAAGGGAGCTCAGGCAAGTATTTAGCAATGCTGGAAGGACAAGGGGTTGCAAGGAAACCCCAATCCTTCTTCCCAGATCCAGTGTGGGCACAAATCAATCTGCATCCCATAAATTCATGGGGGAAGAGACTTGTACTTATCTTCTGGGTCCTAGGTTTGAGTTTATCCCAAGGCAAGGCTTAGCATCCAATGAACTCAGCATTAAGGAATTTTTTAGCAGTTTTCTTAATCAAAAATGGGTCCATCTTTCAGTAGCTCTGCTCCTTGCTATGTCCCACCCCTTCCACCCACCAAGCTGCAGGTGAGATGCCAGCCATGACCCTGTGCTCCTGCAGTAGGCACCAGTGCACACGCAGGAGGTGTTCTCTGCCATGAGGGTGCAGGTCACCTCCAGGCACACAGGTTTGGTGCTGTGCTGGGATAACCTCAGTTCCAGCACAGGTAAAAGTGAACCTCAAGCAACCCAAAAGCAGTGTCCAGGTAGAAACCTCAGCACTGCAAAGGACATCTTGGCTGCCTTAAGCACCATCTGACAACTCCAGTGGGGCTGTTTCCACAACATTCTGCTGGGCACAGCGATCCAGCACCTGCCACATAGCACCACAGTTGCTCCTTCCTCATCACTGACCAGTCCAAGGCACTCAGGAATTGTCTTAAAAGGTATCATGAGATGGATAAACAACATTTGGGTTGCTGGGGAACAATCACCCTTGCCATCTCCCAAATCCTCTCTCCAGCATGGCTAAAGGCCCTGCACCTTGTGGCTGCCCTGTCAGTAAAAGCAAAGGAACCAATTGAATTTTTTTTCCTGGTTGCTCTCTCCAGTGAAGCATGCATTGCCAGCAGAGGCAGCTGTAGGCTTCTCCCACCAAAAACTTTCCATCTGCTGATCCATGGCAGTGGAGAGCACAGCTCCATCCCTGCATGGCCAGCTTGCCTGCTAGCTCTCATGGACTACATCCCATCAGGAAATTTGGCCAGGAATGTTCAAAAGCATCACTCAGGATGCTGAAGGAGTCATTTCTGAACAGCAGAGTGCCCAAATCCCAGCAAAATCCCGCCTACTCCTCCCAGATAAAAGCACCTGAGGATGCAAGGAATTCCAATGCACCGAGATGTGACCAATCCCAAAAATCAGCCTCTGGAGACTACAGGATTTCACTGCCCTTAACTCATCCCAGTGAGGCCACAGGGACCCAGGGGCTGGGCAGCACCTGCAACTTGATGACCTCACCTGCACTGGAGCCCTTGGCCACCCCATTCCAGGGGGCTCGAAATTTGGTCTGGGATGGGAATGGAGGAAACACAAACACATAGACAAATCTGGGGCCATCAGCAGAATGCCAAGGGGAAGGACCGAGGGGGGCTCCTTGCTCATGCCCATCTTCCAAGGTGAGCTGGTGGTACTTTCATGTGGGGGCAGCTCCCATGCCTGGTCCCACAGGGCTGTGAAAACTCCAACTCCCTGCTTTCCTACCACCCCAAATACCACATTCCCTACTCCACACCACTCCCCTTTCCCAAAAATACCAAAGCCTGCTGTGACACCCACCCTGCCTCTCCTGCAAACTCAGGACTTCAGCTTCCCCTCGCTGGTGAGTCCCTGGATTTTCGTGACAATCAGGAACCTTCCTTGGTATGTTTGGGACCCTGGGGCACATGTGTAAGGTCCAAGCTCTGCAGAGAGCGTGGAGAGCTTGGAGAAGTCCTATAGCTTTGCTGTGACCCTCCAGGGAAAATTCAAGGTCTTTTGGAAGGCATGCTGTGCAATGGTGAGGGAGGGATGGGATGGGATGGGATGGGATGGGATGGGGATGGGAATGGCTGCGATGGGATGGATGGCATGGGGATGAGACAGGATATGATGGGATAAGATGGATGGAATGGGGCAGGATAGGATGGGATGGAATGAGATGAGATGGGAATGGAGATGGGATGGGATGGCATGGGATGGGATGACATGGGATGGGATGACATGGGATGGGATGGCGTGGGGATGTTCTCCCACCATACCACCAATCCCTGATCCATAGTACACCCCAAAGACAGGAATACCAGTGACATGGCTCCATCTGCATTGACCCCTACGCTGCCAGCCTCCTCTGTGCTGGAGGCAACTCCCCTTCTCTCTCCTGGGGATGCAGCAGCCCCCACACTGCTGGATCTGCTTTGCTCTGGGGTTCTGGGCACCACCACTCCCTGTGCAGGGAGAGAGGGATCCTCCCCTGACCTGTGTTCCCATCACCCGCCTGCCCGGGTGTTCCATGCAGACAGAGGCAATGATTTTGATGTCCCAGTGAACAAGCTGTCGGGATGCATCAGCCTCAAAGAGCAGCCTTCAGAGCTGCCTTCTCCTCCTATGCACTGCCTGAGCAAGGAAAACCAAATCCAGCTTCGAGCACACACACACACGCTCACACACACACATACACACAGAGATACACACTGCGTCACCGGTGCCTGAGATTTTCCAGCCTTTTAACTAAAAATCCTTGCAAACCTTACCCACGAGGAGGGGGAGGCAGCGAGCCTGGGGCGGGGGTCGGAGGGGAGGTGCCGCCCAGCTGGCAGAGGGGCAGCCCCACGGGCAGAGCCCTGTGACGTGATGGAACCTGAGCACTGCAGAGCCGTCAGGAGCATGGGCAGAGATGAGCTGAGAAAAGCCATGAGCAGAGCTGACATCTGCCCCCTGGGTGGATACCTAATGAGCAGAGACACTGTCCATTTGTGGAGATGAGGAAAAGTTAAAAGATTTCCAAGCTGACACCTGGCAGCCTCCATTGGTGTTCCTGACCACACAGAAGGGGAAGGAGAACAGCGGTCGCCCCCCGGCTCTGCAGGGGTGGGTGAGCTCGATGGCTGTGGGGTTGACATCTCAGCAGCTCATCCACACTGCCCAAATCTCCCCTGCTTGTGTTTTTCTGCCACTTTAAACGAGAAACTGGTGCTTTATGGGAGCTGGGGGTGGTGTGGTCTGGCAGGGTCCCATGCTACCCCATACCCAAGGAAAAGGCAGCAGCATGGCAGGGAGCACATTCCTGGGTCTAGCAGCACGCCAAACCTGCTCTAGGCTGGGATCTGAGCACGGGCAAAGGCTCCTTTTATCCTGTGGTCTCCACATCACAGGAGTAGGATGGCACTCAGCAATGCCTCAGCCCCTGGCGTGGCCCAGCAGCCCCCCCACGCTTCCAAAAACCTAGTTCTGTCACTCCCTATAAATCCAGCCTCCCTAAGCCAACTTGTCACAAGCTCTTCTGTAACTCACCTCCAGCCTCTTCCCTACCCACCACCTTCCACTGGTGACAAGACAGGAGCAATGGAGCAGGAGAAGGGAGAGCCCTGTATCACTCCAATCGCCTCCCAGCTTTCCCCTCAGGAAAACCTGGGTCTAAAAGTACTTGTGAGCCAGTAAACAGCCCCATTCCCCCCCAAACCCACAGTGAAATGATCTTCTCCCCACCTGCCTGCCTGCTTTCCTAAAGGCCAAGTGGATTTACAGAAAAAACACCTCTCTCCAAGTATTCTGGCTGAAAGGGGAGATCCTGGAGCATCCTCAAGGCTTTTCACCAGCCTAAAAAGCAGCTTAAAAACACTGACATTACTTCACATGGTTTTCACCACCTCCATCAGCGAACAGTCTCAGGTCTAAACCCCATTACAAGCATGATTTCCACCTGCCTGGCTCCAGGGATTTTTGCTTTCCAACAAATATAGCCAGAAATCACCAAAAGAAGGGTGCAACCCTTTCCCTGGGATGCCTGGGAGTACAAACAGCAGCTGGGTTCAGGCTGCTCTTCCCTGGCACCCGCTCACCTGCTGGGCTTGAGCAGATGGAGCAGCCACAAATCCCCCTGTAAGCCAGGGAAGGGACTAATCTCCTAGAGGACAAATCAGTTGGCAAGGGGGGGGAAGCTCAACATTCCACCTTTTCCTCCCTCCTCTGGCAAACCCAGCAGCACCCAGCATACCCAGAGGGATCACAGCACTCCCGAGGGCAGAGGAGGCACTAGGAGTTTGGGCATCTGGTGGAGACCCAGTCTGGGGACAAGCAGACAGTCAGGTCACAGCAAGCTAAGTCTTACATGCCCTGTGCAGGGAGGGGCAGCAGCTGGTGTGTCTCTATGGAAAACCACATCTGGTGAGCTCTTAAAACTACCAAAATGCTCTCCAGCCATGACGGGCTGAGGCTTCTTCAAGACTGAGAGGTCCTTGGTGGGTGTGGAAAGCTGGAGGAGCAGCCACTGGGATGAGGTGGATTACCCACAGTGGAATCCCTGGTCTTTCCTCACTGTTGGAGGAGGATTAAGTCCACTGGAGAGGGTTAGTCCAGGTTCACAGGATGAGATCTAGAGAGCCAAACATGCTCTCTCCAAAACACAGATATGCCCAGAAGGACTGGGAATGACAACGTGCCGATGTCAAAGCCCCACAGCAGATCCCACCATGGACATCACCCACTGCCACGCTCACCCCACGTCCTTCAGAAAGGTGTTTCTGCCCCAAAGACCCCAAACCACAGGTCAGCCCAAGGACACACAGCCTGGTCCCGCTCCTGGGGCCATCCACAAGTGCCAACCCTCTCCAACTCATTTTCCTTCTGCTCCAGAGGCCATGGAAAGTAAGAAGGTCAGCAAATTTCGTGCCACCCTTCATTCTTCTGGCTTGTGTTCTTTTCTTTCTTGTGCCCCCTCTTCCCTTGCCTAAGGGCTGGAAAACTCCTGTGTGCTTGCTAGGGACAAATGTCTCGCCAGATATTGTCAGCCCTACTCAGAAAACTCCAAGGCGGAAGTGCTGATGAGGACAGGCACAAGAGCTCTCAGAAATGCTTGGAAGGAGGAAGCTGCAGCCCAGGGAGAGGATGGAAAAGATACAGGCTGGGATGTGCGGCATCTGGGTTTGGATTGCACCCTGCACCTCAGATGGAGGATCATGAATGGCCAGCAGAGCCTGGGGAAGCCCTGATGAGGTGTGATACCCACAAGTGCAGCACAGCACCAGTGCCACCTCTCTGGGTGCCACTGCACATCCAAAGGAATGGCCTGGGACAGAGGGTAAGCCATTGGTGTGTCCCTGGGGATCATGGCCACTCAAGCTATGCAGTCAAAACAGGCAATTTGAAGTCTCCCACAAATCCATCCCCATGTCCTGGAGGGGAGATTTGGGGAAAATCCCAAAATTTCCCTGAGGGAACCCCAGAAAAACCTGTTTCCCAGGTGGGGAAACTGAGTCACAGAGAACACCACCATGGACAGGCTTGCCTGTCCCATGGAGCCCCACAATGCCAAGGAAGGGCTTCATTTCCCAGATACCCTGGGCCCATGTTGTCATGCCCTGCCTTCATGTTATCAGTCCAATAAAAGCCTTTAAATAGGGAATTGTTTCTGCATTTTAAGGAAAGTTTAGAGGCACAGAGTGAGTGAGCATCTCTGGAGGTCTCTGGCCCAGCTCCCACCCCAAGCAGGGTCACTCCAGAAATGGATTAGGCTGCCTGGTATGAAATTACTCCACCCTGAAACCTCAAAACTCTTTCCAAGCCCTCCATTTTCTGCCTGCACACAAGGAGATGTTCCCTGGATGCCCTCAGCCACTGCTATTGCCCAAAGGCCTAATTTTTATCCTTTTCAGAGCACACTGGACAGCAGGGACCTCATTACAGATCATCACCTGGATAAAAGGGGACCACTCCATGGTGGTGCCCACAGTGGTGACGTCCCCATACCCATGGCTGTGACCCCATGCCCACAGCAGTGTCCAGACTGGAATGGCCACCAGCCTGCGTGACTTGTGCCGGGGGGAACAAGCCACCATCACCCCAAGGGTCCCCTGGACAGCCCCAGGCCCGGAGTGGGGCTGTTCCTGCCTCCTCACCTCTGGAATGGGCTGCAGGCGCAGCACAACCTGGAGGCACATCTGGCAGCGTTGGAAGGGTGGTGCTGCAGTGGGATGGGTGGCTCCTTCCCTGCGGAATAAAGGGATGAGAGTCAGTTATGGAGCAAAAGCATCCTCCAAACAATGTGCCCCCCACAGGCCCCCATCGTGGGGACACCCACACAAGCATTTGAACCCGTGCCAGAAATGTCACCACCACAATTCTCTCAGGACAAGCAAGTCCTAGATGCAGCTTTCCCCAGCCCAGCTGAGCAGAGTCCTATAAGGCATGATCAGAGGTCTCTGGGGCACTTGGATTTTCAGGAAATCATCACCTTGCGCTGAGAAAGTAGGGACAAGAGGGTTTGCTCCTTGGTGGCAGGGCTGCATGAGTCATCCTCCAGCCGATGCCCTTGAAACAGAGCCAAAAAAGCTTTTACCCAAAGTAGCCAGCAATAGGATACCAGAGCTGGAGTTCCAGGATTAACCCGTTCCTGGCAGAAGCTGGCTGGCTGCCCTGCCATGCAGACCCCTTCTCCTCCTCTGCTCAATGCTGGGTTTTCCCACTGTGTGCACCCACCAGGTGCCAACACTGGCAAGGGCAGGGGAGGACATGCCATGAGACCCCAATGATGGGCTGCTGCCAGATCAAATGGGGTTGGAAACACAGGCCCCTCAAATGGGGAACATCATTTCTCTTCCACGTCTCACCACAAAGCCTACCCAGCAAACAGGACAATGTTTGGGGTCCACCAAAGTGAAAACACAACTCAAAAAGTAAAGTGGAAAATTTAAAGCTCTCTATTTCCACTGCTTTGAGGGGAAGGCTCTTGATCCCTGCAGTCCTGAGTCCTTGTTTCATTTAGGAACCCACCAACCATCTGTAGCTCTGATGGGATCCTCATTGTTTGGTGTGCCAAGACTTGATGAGCTTTCCCCAGAATAGGGGGAACTAGCCTGCTGGAGAATCCCATATTCCCTCCTTGATGGAAAAGTGTCCCTTAGGGACAAGTGGGAATTTCTGTGTTAAAAGGAGGTTTCCCTCCCTGCAGGCAGGCAGAGAGGTGGCAGCACCCAGCTTTCCTATCAACCTGATGACAATGGACCTATTCCTGCAGTGTGGAAAGGTGGGAGCTTCAAACCATGGCGTGGCAGTGGGCATGAGCATCACTGAGGTGGGACAGGGCAAGAAGATGGAGGATAATGCTCCCAGCTCCCAGGGCTGGGAGTGGCTGCTGCACAGCAGCCTTGCTGTACAGGGCCCCAAAACAAGCCCAGCCTCTCCTGGGGCCATCAAAAAGAGAAGGGAAAGGTGCTGGGGGTTACACTGATACCCACTAAGGTGGGCTGGAGCCTCCTGCCATGGCCCCATGGACCCAAGCATCAATCGACCCACTCCAGCAGTATGGCAGTGTTTTGGTACCTGCATGCACCCGCCCAGGGCATTTAAAGCAAGACAGAGATTTCCCTCTCATATTCTCCCACAGGCCACTATGCAAATGCTCCTTGAAAGCACAGATTAGGTCACGGAGATTTTGATGAGCTTCACCTTCCCCAGGGTTCTCCATCCCCAGTTTACTTCTTTACAGTCTACAGTCAACCCTGGGGGATCCCTGTGCCCCTGCCAGCCCACCCAGACCCCAGGTGCAGCATCGTGTGTCTCCCACCAGGACCACTCTCTCCCTTGTACTGCATCCCTTGTGATGCACCGATGCTCTCGGATCTCCCAAGGATGGGCAGCATGAACCGCCCAGGCCTGGAAAGCCTGGAACACCCAATCTGTGCCACAGCAGCGGGCGTTCCCCAATACCCCCAGCACCAGGGACACCGTGGCCCCAGGCTGCCCTGCCTGCCTGCAGTGATTCCCAGGGAGCCATGCAGCATCCGCACGGGGTAGGGATCTCTGCAGTGGAAGGAGGATGCTTCCTCTCTGCTGGAGGATGCTGCACTGACCAGGCTGCTGCACAGACCCCTCCCCAGAACGGGTGTCATCCAGACACCGGGAGGACCTGCTGAAAGGAGGTCAGCAAAAAACACGGCCCCGGGAGCCAGAGCTGAATAAACTGACCCCTCCTGAGCTTGCTCCATGTGATGAGAGGTGGTGACTCCAGTGGGGAGCACGCAGCACCCACTGCTCCACCACAGGGCACCCACTGCTCCCTCGAGGTCCCTCGAGGCACATGCTGAAGAACCAGCTCAGTGACAGAGTGGGTGACAGCCCTGCCTGCGGCAGGGGGTTAAAATTAGATGGTCTCTAAGGTCCTTTCCAACCCAAATCATTCTGTGATTCTATGATGATTCTGACTTTGGAGGAAGGACAGAAAAGTTCTGCCTGGGGAAATGAGTTCCCAGGAGATATCTACCCAGCTACAGCAGAAGTTTTGAGGCCTGGGACCCCTTTTCTCCCCCCAATACTGATGCTGAGGCTGCATCTGCACCACTTGGTAATCACCACACCTGGAGCGCATCTCATAAATGACTACCAGCCTGACACTCGTGAGACGCCATGGGTGCTGGCACCCAAAACCAGCAGCCAGGGCTCAGAAACGCACCGTGGGACCCCTCGGGATATTCCCACCCAAAGTCATGCAGTATCCCCGCCGTCACCCATCCCTATGCACACTTCTCCCTGCACTTGAGAGTTGGGGCGGGATTGGAAAGCCGTTCCCCATGGGGACCCTCACTTATCCCCACGCGGGGACAGCACTTTGGGATTGTTTCAGCAGAGCCCGGGAGACTCCCAGGGATGGGAGCTAGGGACAGAAAACTCCCAGCAGCCTCGCAGAGCCACTCAGCCGGGAAGGTGGCAGCACACGGGGGCACCTCTTGGGGACGGGGGGGACACGGGGACAGGGTCGGTGGGTGCACGCCCTCCGCACCTCGGAGCGATGGGGGAGCCGCCCAGCCCCGATGTTGCCGCCACCACACCCATCGGCGTCCCCGCACGGGGACCCTCCTTCCCCGCTCCAGGTCTCGAGCCCCCCAGGCCCAGAACACACCCCTCAGAGAAGGCAAAGTCCTACCTGTGTCCGGACGGACGGACCGAGGGACGGCTGGGGCAGGGCGGGGGAGCGGCAGGGCTGACTCAGGGGCGGCGGCAGCCGGAGCCGAGCGGGAGCGCTCAGCCCTGCCCGCCACCCGCCCGGCTCTGCCCGGCCCCCCGACTTCCTGCCCCTGCCCCGTCCCTTCCCGTCCCAGACCCAGTCCCTGCCCCTGTTCCTGTCTCTAAACCTGCTCCTCCCCTGCCCCAACTCCTCCTCTAGCCCCTGCTCCTGCCCCGGCCCCTCCACTGCCCTCTCCCTAGTTCAGCCCCTGCCGCAGCCGCTGTACCTGTTCCTCCCCTGCCCCTACTCCTGCTCTTCCCCCTACTCAGTCTCTACTCCTGCCCCCGCCCCGTCATTGCCCTCTCCCTAATACAGCCCCTGCCCCTAAACCGGCTCCTCCCGTCCCAGCTCCTGCTTTCCCCCCTACTCAGTCCCTAATCCTTCCCCCCGCCCTTCACTGTCCTCGCCCTACTACAGCCCCTGTTCCTGTCCCTGAAGTAGCTCTGCCCCTACCCAGTCCCTGCCGCTGCCCTATGGTGCCTGGGGGCAGTCCCAGCTGACACCGCCCACGGTGACTCTGCCCCAGGGTGACTCTGCCCCAGGATGCTGGCATTTCCCGGGTGTCCAACACCGCCCCGGACCCACACCCTGCAGAGCTCCTGCACCCGGGCCCGGCTGCGTTTACGGCAGGGACCTAACCCTGCCTCCATCCTGGCCATCAGCGATGGACAGACAGGTTCCACCTGCCCGCGGGAGGGGCAGGGTGCAGACAGGGAGCTGACGGACACGTCTGCTGTGGTCTGGCCACCCGCCCCAGGACCACCTGGGGGGCTCAGTAGGGCTGGAAGCCTCTGGGTTGGAATATCCAGGGCTGCCTGGACCTTACAGGCTGGCTTGGCTGGGACGGGTGTGTGGGTGTGTGTGTGGGCGGGTGGGTGTGGGTGGGTGTGTGGCAGTCCCCGGACGTCTGGGATCCTGCTGCCGCACTTCCAGGCGGGAAGACATAAATATTTCACCGGAACAGCCGAGCCCTGTCAGCTTGCATTTGCTTCTGGCAGGGTGAGCGCTGGGAAAGGGGGAGGAAAGGCGGGGAGAGAAGATGCCCTCGGAAGATGCACTCTGAAGATGCATCATCTCCCGGGAGATGGGGCACTAGCTCCGAGGCTAGATTCTCGGGGAGCTCCACCTCCTCTAGGGATGCTCTTCCCTCCGGAAGAAGTGCACGGCCATGCTTCAGACCCTCCAGGTCCTGAAGGCCGTACTCACCCCATAAGCAACTCTCGGGGGTTGCTGCCAAGCTGGGTGAGGGGATGAGAAGTTTCGGAAGCTCTGCTTGGAGCACAGCGGGGAACTGTTCGGGACCCTCTGGGATACGGCACAACTGCGTAGACTGGAACAAATCCACCCCCAGGAAACAAACGGGGTGCAGAAATAAATCCAAGCAGCCACGGGTATCACAAATCAGCGGAGGGAGGCAAGGCTTGGGCAGCGTTCCCCAGGGCCCGCAGCCCAGAGGCCACGGCAGATGTGCAAGGAGCGGACCCCAGCTGAGGGCAGTGGACAAGGGGGTCCTTCACGCCCAGCCGACGCTTTCGGAGGGGGATTTGTCCCTATACGGGACACAGGCGCCGGCACAGCTCTGTTCCGGCGTGGCCGGGTTTTTCCTGTTCCTCCTCCTCCCCTTCCTCCCTCCCGCTGCACTGTGGGGTTTGTAGTCCCCACGTCGCTCCGCACCTGGAGAGCGACTACATTTCCCGAGGTACTCCTACATTCTCCTCCTCCTCCTCCTCCTCCTCCTCCTCCTCCTCCTCCTCCTCCTCCTGCTGTCTCTGTCCCGGGCTCGCCGCCGATCGGGCTCGGGTGGCAGCGGGGAGCTCCGGATCCCGCCTGGCCTCGGCCTGCAGTGCCCATGCCCGCCGCCCAGCAGGTACGGGGTGCGGGGTGCGGGTGCCGCCGGGGCGGTGCCGTGCCTGGTGCGGTCCTGGGATGCCGGCAGTGTTGTTTCCCCCGGGTGCTGGGGATGTGTGCCGGGCGCTGTGTTGTTTCCCCCCGCTCTGTTGTTTCCCCCGCCGTTGTTTCAGGGTGAGCAGGTGCCGCGTACCGCCAACACCCTCCTCTGCCAAGTACACCCCGCACCACCCCGCAGCGCCTATCCCTTGGTGCTGGGCGGTGGGAAGCAGAGAGGTGCTCGTACGGTGGGCGAGGGTGCATTTTCCGGAGCTTCCCAGCCCTTGTTTTAGGGAAGGTACTCCAGGGATTCGCGCGCCCCATTCGGCGTGGCAGCTCCGCACATAACACGTGGCGCCTTGGCAGTGTCAGTTGTATGCCACCGGCACGCGGCTGGGCGGAGGGCATCGCGCCCACTCCCAGGGCTCTCCCCTCTGGACCACGGGTGGCTCTGCCGCCCGTGTCACCTCTGGCCCCGGGCTGACAGCGGTGTGTGGCGTGACAGTGATCCATGTCAAGGTCACACCCAGATAACTCGGTGATAAACAGGTTCACACGGTGATAACGGGCCGGCTCTGCTCCCTCTCCCTCCCTCTCTCTTCTCCCTTTTCTTCTTCCCTCCACTCCCTGGCTTGCACCAGGTACTCATATCCACTCATCTCGAGCAAAGTAGCTCCATGGATGTTCTGGACAAGGGGGTTAGGGTGCAGCTAGGTGGGTTCTGCTCTGGAGTCCCTTAGTGTGTGGGGACACACATGCTGGGAGTTAGGAGCCAGTGCTCCTGGGAATGGAGCAGCTTCATGGAGCTGCGTCCTGGATTTAGTGTGGATGGTTTTCTGTGGGCCAGGGATCCATGTATATATCCCTCCTGGATGGACAGGGCAGGAATGGGGAGCAGAGGGTGGCAAACACCCCACAGGAGTTGTGGTGCACGTGGCGGCAAGCAGCTGCTGCAGGTGACATCTACAGCCCAGCCTGGGGACAAGAAAGTGATGGAGCAGAGTCCAGGAACTCGCAGCTGGCAGTGGCCCCGGCACGGTGCTGGGCTGGGTGTCTGCCGGGGGTTAGCCCTTGCTCCTTGCTCCTTTCCCTTCCTGCCACTGCAGGGGCCAGTGCTCCAGCCAGTGCCGGACAGGCTCGCTGGGCAGCGAGTGAGTGAGCGCCTCTTTGATCCCCAGGGATCTGTTTAGGGGCTGCCCCAGCCGTGAGCTCTGGCACACGAATGTTTTGGTGACACTCAGGCACCAGTGCTGAAATCCCATGGGAATGCTACTGGAGTGGTGTATCCTCACTGGGGCAAATGGACACTTGGCGTCCTGTAGGTTTAGGTCACCACCAGCTTCCTCTGCCACCACTGGTGCTGGCTCATGTCCCTGTTTATCCTGTGTTATCTGGCAGCAGGGGGGGGATTATCCCCCAATTTCACCATGCAGGATGCAGTGGGACACAGACTAGGACCATGAACTTACTTTTTAATGACCATGATTAGTTGTTCTATGGTTATCTGGGTAATCAGGTTTCTAAACCTTGCTCCTGTGGCGTGTGTTGGAATACGAGGAATCATGTGGCATGAAAAGTCACCTAGGTCACTTCTTGTGGGAGTGGGGAGTGCTGGGAGGACATTAGTCCAGGCCTTCTCCTGTCCCTGCCCTCATCCCATGACCGCTAATCGGGTCTCCTGGCACTGCCAGCTTTCCAGCAGCCAAACCTCAGGATCTGAGCTTTTAATCCTTCTCTGGACCATGAATCTCGTGGCATTTTGCATTTCCCCATTTTGCACAAGCTGGGGATTGTGTCCCCCTGGGATGAGCCAAGCGACAGCCGTTTGCCGGCGGCTCAGCTAAAGTCCTGCCAGCCATCCCGCTACTGAGTAACACGGGTGGCCCCATGCCCGGGGTGCACATTAACTCATTTCCACAGCCAGCACATTCTTGTGCCATCCCCTCCAGAGCATTCCCGGTGCAGGGCGTCTGCATCCCTCTGCCTCTGCAGCTCAGAGGAAGTGTTGCTCCAAGAAGCAGCAAAAACCCACTGAGTCTTAAAGGGGAGGAAGAGGAGGTGATGGGAGCTGAGGATGCCCCACTGTGGATCCAGATGCTCCGTGCATCCAGGCTCCGGATACATGTGATGTACGAATGCTGCCCGAAATGACCCCCCCCCCCGCTTCTGCACAGCAAGATGCATGGCTGCTTTTCTTCTTCCCAGAACATCTCCTGGGGAGAAGGTAGTGGTATTTATTTGCCTTGCGATTCTTGAGGAATTTTGAGCCTGTGCCAAATGCTGCTTTTTCCACAGAAACTGCAGCGCCCTGGTTTTCCATGCGCCCGAGAGCGCCTGTGGACAGAGAGGGGCTGCGTGGTCCAGCAGACCCTGTGTAGCTAATGGCTCCCAGGATAATGCTGCTGTCCTGCTGCAGAGCCATGCCCAAGAATGATGGCACCAAAAAGCCGGCGCTGGAGATGGTGCCGGACCAGCGCTGGAAGCTACAAGTCTGCTACCTCTGCTTCTATGGCTTCATGACACAGATCCGGCCCGGGGAGAGCTTCATCACCCCCTATCTGCTGGGGACCGACAAGAACTTCACAAAGGCAGAGGTGAGCTGTGGGCATCTGGTCCCCCACCCTGATGTCCCCCTTTATGGCCATGGTCACCATCCTGGGGCTGTACAGAGCATCCCTCAGTGCTTCTGGGGTGCACAGGGGTGTCGTGTCCTGGGCATGGCAGCATGTGGTGACTCAGTGGTGCTTTCTGGGCAGGGAAGGTGGTGTGTTGTGGGGCCTTGTCTCACTTGGCTGTGAGGTCACCCTATCCCCTGAGTCCCAGGCTCAACTTGCCCTGGCATAAAACCTCGTGCCCAGGCTAGCAACTGATTTTGGGGGCGGTGTGTGACCCCTGCCCACCTTAGCAGCCTGTTGGAGGGTGCTGGGCTGGGAGAAGTCATGCCCCATCCCACTGGGGAGACTTTTCCATGATGGCACAGTGCACTGCTAGGCCACTGGCAGTGATGGGGTTAGACAAGGAGGGGCCACAATGTCATCATCTCCCAACTAAGGGATGCTGGCCTCAATCCCAGCTGGCTGCTGCGCTGTGGGAACGCTGCATTCCCGGCATGGGAAGGGGCCAAGGCTCAGCCAGACCCCCAGCTGAGCATGCTGCTTGTCACAGTCCTCCCCGAGGAGGTGCTGCTGTGGGGGTCAGCAGCCAGTGCTCATACCATCTGCAGGTTGGGGGGCATTGCCAGGGATGTGCCCAGCGCTTAGCCCCTCCTTGCCCTCATGGCAGGTGACCAATGTGATCACACCGGTGCTGTCCTACTCCTACATGGCCGTGCTGGTGCCCATCTTCCTGCTGACAGACTACCTGCGCTACAAGCCCGTGCTAGTGCTGCAGAGCCTGAGCCACATCTCCATCTGGCTGCTGCTGGTGCTGGGCACTTCCGTCCTGGCCATGCAGCTGATGGAGTTCTTCTACGGCATCACCATGGCTGCCCGCATTGCCTACTCTTCCTACATCTTCTCCCTGGTCGCCCCGTCCCGCTACCAGCGGATGGCCAGTTATTCCCGCTCTGCTGTGCTCCTGGGGGTTTTCACCAGCTCCGTGTTGGGCCAGCTCTGTGTCACCTTGGGTGGTGTCCCCTTCCTCACCCTTAACTACGTCTCCTTGGGCTTTGTCAGCTTCGGCCTCATCCTCACCCTCTTCCTTGAGCGGCCCCGGCGCAGCCTCTTCTTCAATCGGCCCGGGGGGGCTGATGACGCCGCTGTGCCCACTGAGCTGGACAGGATGGCTGGGGGGGACAGCAGGAGGGGGACACGGGGCTGGAGGGACATGGTGCTTTGCCGGATGCTGCAGGAGCTGGGAGCACTGGCCCGGCAGCCCCAGCTCCGCCTCTGGTCCCTGTGGTGGGTCTTTAACTCAGCTGGGTACTACCTGATGCTGTACTATGCTCACATCCTCTGGAACAAGATCTCTCCTACCACAGACAACCGCCGGGTGTACAATGGAGGCGTGGATGCTGCCTCCACTCTGCTGGGTAACTCACCTGGGATCGGGACACTGGGGGTGTGGGGGGACACTCACATCCTGCTGCCTCCTGTGGGAATGGCTGGGGACACCAGAGAGGCGGGGGGTCACTTCTGTCCTCCTGCACCCCTTGGGAATGGTGGTCCTTATGGTATTTTTGGTGGTTTGGCATTGGGGATGACGGGATGGTTACTGGGCTGGGTCCCAGCCTAGGTAGGGCAGGGGATCCTTGAGCTGTTCACAGCATCCTTCATCCCTCCTCAGGAGCTGTCGCCTCCTTCGCTGCTGGCTACGTGAAGATCCGCTGGAAGCTGTGGTCAGAGCTGGTGATTGGAGTGGTTACGGCATTCCAGGCAGGATTGCTCCTGCTTATGAACTCCACCACCAACATCTGGCTGTGCTATGCTGCCTACATCCTCTTCCGTGGCTCCCACCAGTTCCTGGTGCCCATTGCCATGTGCGTGGTGCTCCTGGGGACCCACTCCCACCCTGGCAGCTGGGTTGATGCCAGGGGTTCACCAGTGCTCCCATTTTTCCCAGTTTCCAGATTGCTACCTCCCTCTCCAAAGAGCTCTGTGCTCTGGTCTTCGGGGTCAACACCTTCTTCGCCACAGTGCTGAAGACTGTCATCACCATCATCGTGGCTGACAAGAGGGGCTTAGGCTTATCTGTGCATCCCCAGGTAGGGGTGGGGTCGCACCTAGGGTGGAGGTGGTCCCTGAATGGTGCGGGATGAAGGGAGGGCTCCAAGTGCTGTTCTCCCCTCTCTCCTCTTTTGCAGTTTTATGTGTATTTTGGCTACTTCACCCTGCTGGCCGTGGTCTACCTGCTGGCAGCCATCGGAGTGGGTGTCCAGCACAGCCACCACAGGCAGCCAGTGGAGCTGGCCCTGGCCAAGAAGCCATGCCAGCTCCCAGTGGAAATTCCAGCACAGGAGAAAAGCCCGGAGGTGGGCACCATACAAGCCTGAGTGCTGGTACCACGACGCTGTGGCCGGCTCTTGGCTCCCCAAGTGAGCATTGTCATCGCCACCATGTGCTTGGTGTCCTGTCCCACTGCTGGTCCTGGCTGCTGTTCTGTCAAGGATGTAACCACTGGGACATGTTCTCTGCTTTGTGAGGACAGGGCTGTGCCCCTTCCCAGTCCCCACACACAGAGAGGGGGCAAGATTCCCATGGTGCCACTGCCGTGTGTCACACACACATGGGGTATGGATGGGGACCCCATCCCACTGCATCCCCATCATGGCACAGAGCCAGGCTACAAGAGAATGTTTCTTTATTCAGTGCCTTTAGAAAATGGTTTATAGGACACAACTGATGACAAAAAAAATATAAAGATCCACACACTTTAAATTGTATTAATTACACAAAATACAGTAGACTGTAAGAAATAGAAACTGTGTGACTTGCACAGCTTTTATGGTAATAATTTCCATAGAATAACAAAAAAGCTAGTTACAAATTTCTCTTTTTTCTTTTCTTTTTTTTTTTGGTTTTTTTTTTTTTAGCACCTTGGATTTGCCCCCACAAATTCCAACCAGCTTTGCTGTGTCTTTGCCATTCAAGCCCAGCAAAGGTGGCACAGGGAGGGGGGGATGGCAGTGCCTGGCCTCGGTACCACACGTGCTCAACACGCACACACACAGAGAAACACGTGCCAGGAGCACAGCTGGCCATGCCTTGGGGCCACCCTGTCACCCCAGTAACTGGGCTGGCTGGGGCTGTACCTGGGCTGTGGGGGCACAGCCGGGGGTCCCCAGGGTGCGTGGATGGGATGGGGGAGACCAGACCCCCACCAGAGCTCTGCTGGCTGGGTGGTGGAGGTGAGAATGATGATGGGATGGTCCTTACCTGGGGAGGATGGAGACCATCTGGGAGAGCCCCAGCATCAGCACAGGACAATCCCTTGGGTGGGATGCTGGTGTCTTGGCTGGAGAAGACCCTGTGGCCTCAGCAGCAGGGATTTGCTTCCAACCCCAAGCTCCTGGTGAGGACAGCGTGGGGCTGGGGGGCTGGGGTGAGAGAGGCCCCACAGGCTTTTGCGGGGAACAGCCCACATGGCAGCACTGAAAACTCCCTGCCGAGCATCCTCCCACCCAGCCATCCCAAAAACAGCAACCAAGCAGGGAGGGGAACAAGCTGAAGTGGTTAAATATTAGGAGTTAGAAGAGGAGGAGGAGGAGGAAGGCCACCAGCCCATGGCTGCCCTGCCCCGGGTGGGACCTGAGCCCCTGCCAACCCAGGGCAGGGGCCATGTCAATACTCTTTGGCTTCAGGTCTGCAGGAGAAGGAAACCCTGCAGGGCAAGAGTGGGTGCGTGGAGGGGGCTGAGAGGTGCTGGGGTGCAGGCTTGCCCAACCCTCCCCAGGGACATGGGGGTACTCAGGGGTGCCAGGGCAGGTATCACTTTTTGGTGGCGGTCATGAAGCTGTTCTCGATGCAGAGGACAATGAAGGCTTGCTGGCAGCTGCTGGCCACCTGCTCCAGCAGTTTTCCAGAGGCCAAGGAGGAAGCCTGGCCAGTGACTGCACGCTCCTCTGTCCGCCATGTTTCGCAGTAGCTCTCAGGCAGGCGCCGACCCTTGGCATCTGAGCCATGCCAGACACTCTTCTGTGGCCTGGAAGGGTGAAAGGTGGGGGGCTGCTGCTGCCCCACCATGCTCCAAACCCCAATTCCCCATCACTTGGTCCTGCACTCACCATCCCGCATCCCGCAGGACATCCCGGCCATCAAAGGAGAGGATGCGGGCGCTGGTTCTCAGTGGGGCCCCGCTGCCCGTAAAAAGGGCTTCCCAGTTATTGAAGAGCACTTCATCCTAGCGGGAAGGGTGGGAAAATGGAGGAGGAGGGGGTTTAGCACTGCCTGCACCCCAAGAGCAGCCCAGAAGCTCCAAGCTGCAGCAGCCTCTGGGAAGGGGATGCTTCATGATGGATGGCAGCTTTGCTATGCTCTGCATCCCAGACCTTGGCGGTGCTGGGTTAATAGCTGGACTTGCTGATCTTAAAGAGATCTTTCCCAACCATAATGACTATGTGATCCTATTCTGTGATCCATGAGAGCTCAGACAGTGTTGAGAAGGGGATGGGACATGCATACCTGGAGGTTGACAATGGGGACGGCGGCGCGGTCGGCCCTGCGCACGATGCTGTAGAGATCCTGCAGGCGCGAGGACAGGAAGGCACGGAAGGTGCCAGCCAGCCCAACCTGTCGGGCTTGCTGGAAGCACTGGAAATCGGCGCCCCGGATACCACGCATGCCACCACTCAGCGGGGTGTTCAGAGCCACCAGGTGAAGCTGCCAAGAGGACACAACAGGGCTTGAGGGACACAGCTTTGGCCACCACCATCAGCTCCCCTCAGCCGGCATGTGGCACTCACAGCAGGCTGGAAGTCCTGGTGCACATGGGCGGCCACAGGGGCGGGGTCTGGCCGGCGGTGGATGTAGTACCCGTTGATGAGCTCGTGCTGGTGGTGGAGCAGGGGCTGCTCGGGCAGGCGGTGCTGGTTGGCCACCACCTCGTCCCCACGCCAAGGACGGGCGGTGGCCGAGGGGACGTGGTTGCGGAGCGGGTGCAGGGGCCCGCGGGGCTGGGGGCCAGCGTAGTGGAGGGTGGGCGGCTTGTCGTACACCTCGTTGTCCTGGGGAGGGGGACACAGTATGAGGAGGGGCATGGTGCCCCAGGTGGGGATGGGGATGGGGATGGAGATGGAGAATGTTGGGGATGGATGGAGATGGTTGTGGTTGGATGAAGATGGGCATGGAGATGGTTGGGGTTGGATGGATATGGCACTGGGAATGGAGATGGTTGGGAATGGGGATTGATATGGTTGGGGATGAATGGGGAATGAGATGAAGTTGATTGATGATGGATAGAGCTGGTTGTGGATGGGATGAGGATAGATGAGGATGGAGGATAGGGATGGGAATCGGAAAGAGGATAGGAATGAGGATGTGCATGGGAAATAGAGGACTCACCAGAGCCGAACTGGGGATCAGGTTGTGCTCCTCCAGCTGCAAGGGCATGGCACATCAGATCCCAGCTGCCCCCCTCTCCTCTTCCTCGCGCACGGGTGGGGGGACCCCAAGCATCACCAAGAGTCACCACCGAGCCCCCGGGATGGTGCTGTCCGCGCTCCCCTCAAGCCGGGCAGTGCAGCCCCAGCAGGTGTGCCCCTCTGCCCCCGCACTCACCAGCACCCTGCGGAAGCCCCCGCGGAGGCGGACATAGAGTTCCTGCCGGTCCGTCAGGAAGACGAGGCCGCCCTCGGGCAGCTCGTGCGCGGCACTCAGCATCGCCTGGTACGTGGGCATGGCCTGGAGCTGTGGGCACAGCCCGGGGCAGGGCTCAGGGATCGGCTGCCTGCACCATGGGCAACGCCTGCCCAGAGCCCTGACTCACCCCCAAGGATATCCCACTAGTGCCTGGTGGTCCAGGGGGTCCTGGTGGTCCTGGGGGTCCAGGGATGCTGACAGCTGTGGGGGAAGGAGGGTGAGATGGAGAGAGGTACAGCATGAGGAGGAATGCAGAGCTGCAAGGAGGGATGCATGGGATACAATCAGGAATGCTGGGGGGGGGTTAAGGAGGGATGTGGGGGTGCAGGGTGGAATGCAGTAGAGCAGGTACCTTGTCTGTGGGGACCTGGGAAGGAGGGTGGCCCGGGTGGACCAGGAGGGCCAGGGGGGCCCTGCCGCCCCTCGTATCCGATACCAGGGGGACCCTGAGGTCCTGGAGGCCCCGGTGGCCCAACAATACTGTCCCCCTTGGGACCCTAGGCAGTGTGAGAGAAAATCTGTTGGAGCAAAGCCTCCAGAGATGCCACGTCCCGCTGTGCCCCCCTTCACTCTCCACCCTATCTGGTACTCACCGGCAGCCCGGGGTATCCCTGGGGCCCTGGAGGCCCTGGAAGTCCAGAGACTCCAGGACTGTAGAGTGGGGTGCTGCCTGGCTCGCCCTTCTCACCCTTGGGACCTGCATCCCCCTTGTCACCCTGTGGGATGGCACAGTCTTAGGGTGAGCAACTGGGATGCACTGGGCACCCCAAGTGATGCTGGGTTCCAGCTGCCAGTGTGCAAAGGGCTTACCCGCAGGCTGGTACCAAAGTGACTCACGTCATAGGGGAACTGGCCTGTGGAGAGAGGGAGAGGAGGGGAGAGGAGCCAGGATGGGCATGAGCCATCCCCTGCCTGCCTCTGACAGCAGGGACCAGTTATCTACCTGGTGGTCCTGGGGGTCCGGTATCACCTTTCTCTCCCTTTTGTCCTGAGAACTGGTGGAAACCTGTGGGGAGCAGCAGAAATCCATCTCAGAGTTGCAGCTATAAGGGATGGGAGGGGGTTCCTCCCCAGCCCTGCTTTGCCAAGGTTCCCCAAAATGCCCAGAGGGGGCGGGGAGAGGGACACCCACTTACTAGGGAACGCTGGGTGGCTGGAGTCACTGAAAGTCTGTGGAGATGCAAAGGAAGTGGCTGCAGAGACAGCAGCATCCCTGGGGACCCCCCCTAATGCTGGTGACAGTCCCACATGCCAGCTCCAGCCAGGATGTCACCAGAGCATTCTCTGTTTCCTCCAGGCAGGCAGGGGACATTGGGGGCCCAGTCACCAGCATGTCCGTCACGGTGACCGTGGTGATACTCACATTGCCATTGTTGTAGACTATGCTGCCAGGTGGCCCAGGGGGCCCAGGGGGTCCTGGGGGGCCTGGGGGACCCTGTGGGGGTTGAGAAGATTTGTCAAAGTCCTGCAAAGTGGACAGTCCCCACCATGGAGGGGGACAACCAGCCCCTGAGAGAAGGAGACATGCCCTTTGCCTAAGGGATTGGGGTCCTTGGGGATACCCTCAGGGTGTGTGCCCCGCCCTGCAGGGCCAGCAGCTGGGGGGTCACAGCAGTGCTCACCCGCAAGCCCAGCACGTCTGCAGGGTCACCCTTCTCGCCCTTCAGCCCGTTCATGCCAGGACGTCCCTGTGGATGAGCAGTGCAATGAGCCTTGTCCCCGTTCCCCTGCCAGCCCCTGGTGTCACATCTGGTGCTCCAGAGTCACCTCTGACACCCCAGCACTGCCCCATCCCTCAGAGACACAGCAGGGTGTGGGGCTCAGTGGGTGCAGGACGTGCAAACTCAGAGGGGGGCGCGGTGGAGGCGATGGACACAAACAAACCGGGAGCAGGTCTTACGGGTCTGCCCGGAAAGCCAATCTCTCCCTTCATCCCTGCTCGTCCTGGGGGACCCTGGAAGGGAAAGAAGATGAGGGTGAGAGATGCTCAGTATAGAGGCATCCCCTCTGCCTAGGATCATCTCCATCCCTCCCCATGGGACACAAGGAAGGGGATGGTGATGGTGACTTACCGATGGTCCCATTGGGCCCTGCAGCCCTGGCTCCCCCTGCAAATAATAGAGAGGGACAGGGCATCACCACTGGGACCACCTGGCACTGTCCCAGGGGGATGTCCCCCCCCATTCCTGCCAGGAACCCACTTTTTCTCCTTTCATCTTGGCAGTGACCACAGTCCCATCAGGGCTGATGATGACGCCGGGCTCCCCCTTCTCCCCCTGCAAGAGAAGAGGAGGTGGGAGGGGACACGCAGGGACCAGGCTCCCTCCCATGACAGAGCTGGTGTCACCTGATGGCCAGGTGGAATGGGGGACCAGGAATGTGACCACTCAATGGGGTGCAGGTGGCCTGGAGCAATTACCTTCAACCCTGGGGCACCCTGGGGACCAGTTGACCCCTGGTCTCCTTTTGGTCCCACCGGGCCCTGCAGAAAGGACACAGAGTCCATGTCATTCCCAACTCAGCAAAGGCAGGCTCCAAACTCCCCCTCCATCACCACCACTCTGCAGCAAAGCACAGCAGGACTGGCGACCACAGCTGTCACCAGGGCCACCCCGTGGTCCCCAGATGTGTCACCAACTCACCGGGAAGCCAGCGTGGCCTGGTCTGCCCTGCAGAGAGAAGCAGAGATGCTCCTAAGAGCAAACCCCATCTTTCCAAAAACAGGCTTCCCTCCTGGCACTGCTCAGGGGTGGGCACAGGTGGCAGGAGGGCACCTACCTCTGGACCAGGAAAAGCCACCAAGGACTTCTGCAAAAAGAGACAAAATGAGGTTTTTCCCCTGATCTTGGCTCCGAGGGTCAGAGCTGCTGGTGAGGTCTCCCTCACGATGGCTGCTGGAATACCCCTTCCCCTTCCCTATGCTGAAGCCAGGTGCCACCACTTACATCTTCACCAGAGACACTGATGACCTGTCCAGGGGGACCAGGTGGGCCAGGGGGGCCAGGCAGCCCCACTCCATCCTGGCCTCGCTCTCCCTGGAAAACACAAGCCATCAGCCTAGGGCCACCAGTGGCTGGTCCCCCATCCCCAGCCTGGTGGCACCTACCTTCTCACCGGTACTGCCTTTGTCACCTTTGGGTCCCTGGAAGAGGAGCAGGAGGGAGTGAGCACCAAATGGAGAGGGACTGTGCCCCACCAGTGCAGACCCCCTCCCACCTCTGGCTCAAAAAATACTACAGGCAACCCCACCTCTGCCTCCAGCTCCAGGCAATGAGCCAAGCTGCAATGATTTTGGGTGGAGGTGGTGGCCAGTGTGGTGACAAGGTGGGGGAGGACAGGATCCTAGGGGGTGTGGGCACCCCTGACATGTGGTGAACCAGGTCCCACAGCAGGGAGGGGGAATTTTGGCTGCTGGGGATGGAGCTGCTGCAATCAAAGGCGCCCTGCCTGGAGGAGGGGGGGTGTCTTCTGGAGCTGGGGGGCTGAAGCTCCTACCTGTGGTCCAGGGAAGCCCTCCAGGCCAGGGCGGCCATCCATGCCAGGCATGCCAGCATCTCCCTGCAATGGGAGCAGGAAAGGGCAGGATGCAGCCCCAGGTCGCAGAGCACAGCGGTCCTGCCCACTGCCCTGAACACCCGGGTGCTGGCACAAAGCCATCCCAATCTCCCAGTGCTCCTACCTTTGGTCCCGGCAAGCCAGGCTGTCCGGGGCTGCCGACCTCTCCCTGCAAGGAAAGAGGTGTCAGAGGCATCCCTACAGGCTGCCTGCAGGCATCCCACATGGATAGAGCCAAGAGCATGTTGTAAGGGTTCCTCACCTTCAGCCCCGGCAGTCCTGGCACGCCCTGCAAGCAACAAGGGGACCATGAGCACTGGGTGATGGCAGGGGACATGATGGCTGGGAATTCCCTAGGGAGCCCAGGATGGAGAGGAGGGAAAGGGCAGGAATGGCCCTACCTGTGGTCCTTCAGGCCCAGGTGGTCCAGGGGTGAATGACAGCCCCGAGCCCTCCATGTCACCCTAAATGCAGGGAGAAGGGGCTGAGCTGTGTCTGTCTCCAGCTCCAGCTCATCCCATCCCATCCCTGCAGTGACCACTCACAAATCCAGCCTCATAGCCCGGCCCCGGTGGTCCTGGAGGGCCGGGGGGCCCTGGCTGCCCTCGGGGTCCAATGGGCCCGGGAAGGCCGGCTAAGCCCATTTCTCCTGGGGGCCCTGCTGGTCCCGTTTCTCCTTTGTTGCCCTGCAAAGGAGACAAAAAGGGCACAGATGGAAGGTGACAGTGGTCACTGCCTGGAGCCTGCAAGCAGGAGGCAGAGCATCCCCTCACAAATCCCCTCTGGGACAGGATATGGAGGATCTCCCTGATGTTCCCCTCTCTAGGGGCTTTGTGGGAGGGGGCATTGCCCAGCTTGGGCACCCTTCATCCCACCAGCTCCCCTTGTAATGTCCACAGTGGCCACCAGAGGCTCGTCTAAAATCATAAAATGGGAATGTCTTTGCACGTGGGGCTGGCTCCACTGCTGCAGCAGAGCTCAGTGCCATAAAGGAATGCTCACAGGCATTCCAGGGATTGCAATGGCTCTGGAAGCAACAGGCTCAGACCTTACACACGCTGCCACCCCATCTGCCCTCTGGGTGCTGCAGAAGTGCAGAAAGTTAGAATTAAGGTTACGAAACCTTAATTTTTGAGGGTTTTGCCCCCAGTTCAGGCTGTAGTGGATGGTGATCACAAGGGGCAGCATCCCAACTCTAAGGGGCTCCCATCCCAGCAAGCCTTTACTTCCACTTTTGGGGATGCAGGGTGGAAAGAAGCTGGAGCAAGCAGGCAGGAGAGAGTAATGCACAGAAGATGGGGTGTTTTCCAGTGGGGTGTGGGCATCTGCCAAGCAAAGTCTCCTCTGTGTCTTGAAACACCCCTCCTTGGTTTTCCTGCCCACTTCCTGATGTGGCAGTGCCTGGAGCAAAGCCAAGGCAGGGTGGCAGGAGCCCAGTGAGCATCCTTTGTGGGGTCAGCAGCTCCATGCACCTTTGAGATATGGCCCTGATCTGGGAGGAACACAAATAGCAGCACCCCTATCCCCATTCCTGTGCAAGATGGCTCCCCCAGGCAACATCCCTGCCTCCAGTCTGCAACGGAGAATCCAAAAATCCCACCCCAGGCACAGTACCTTGGGTCCTGGTAGGCCAGGGAGGCCAAGGTCACCCATATCGCCCTGGGAAGGAGGAGGGAGAAGAGGGTGTGGAGAAGCTGCCCAGCCCCAGGCAGAAGCAGAATGGTGCTCCCCAGCCCAGGAACTGGGGCCTCCCAGAGATGTGCCAGTGCTGCCTGTGGGACAGCTGTGACACGCTCTTGGGGCACATGGGACAGGGCCAACCTGCCACTCACCTGCTCTCCTTTGGGCCCCGGCTGCCCATCCTCCCCATCTCTTCCTGGAGGACCCTGAGGACCCTGTAAGATCCCAGGAGTTGGTTCCAGCACAGGAAAACCCTGTAGGGCTGGTGGGCACCAAGCCCCCCACCGGCACAGAGTGGCCCTGGCTGGGTCTCCTTGGCCAACCCACAGACCTACCACTGGCCCCGGGGGCCCGGGGGTCCCATCCCTGCCTGGCAGCCCAGGCGGTCCCGGCAGGTCCGTGCGGTTCATCCCAAACCTTCCTGGCTCCCCTGGCAAACCAGGCACGCCAGGTGGCCCTGGGGGACCAGGTGGCCCTCGTGGACCCTAGAAGAGACATGGGGGGCCATGGCTGAGGGTGTCCCCCCCCTTCCAGCTGGCAAGACAGGCACTCAGCCCCACTCACCCGCAGGCTCTCCAGGTCACCACCGAAGCCAGAGCCCTCCATGTCGATGAAGGTCTGGGAGAGAAGCACAAGGGGGATGTCAGGGCACCTGGTGGCACTGGGGCTCGCCCAGGGGCTGGTGGGATCACTCTGCACCTGTGTGGCTTGATGGACCACCCCCCATCCCTCAAATCCCTGTGTCCCAGGGGTCACCCACCAGCTTGTCATTCTTGGAGGAGGGTCCCGGTGGTCCTGGAGGGCCAGGTGGTCCAGGGGGTCCCCTTGGCCCCACACCTGGGTCACCCTAGCACAGAGGAGAGAATGTGGTTTGGGGGTGCAGCTGAGCTGGGATGAGAGGAAGGGGGGCAACACTGGCACTCACCTTCTCCCCCTTCAGGCCCGGCTCCCCTGGCATCCCAGGGAATCCTGGGGGCCCCATTTCACCCTGCAAAGGGGAGCAGTGGGGGGTCAGCAGGTGGCAAGGCAAGGGGATGGTCATCCCCCATCACCCTGCCACCCCCTCCACCCCACTTACGGGTTTGCCGTCCTCGCCAGGATCTCCCTAGGGATGGCAGAGAGTGGACAGGTCAGTGTGTAGGTGGGTAGAGTAGGGGGACAGGCACACCCTGTGTGGGGGGAATTGACTCACAGGCTCGCCATCCCTGCCAGGGGCTCCATCCTTCCCTGGTGTCCCTGGAGGGCCAGTGACCTGCTCCACCACCGAGCCATTGGCATGCTGAGAGAGGGTCCCAGGGAGTCCAGGGTCACCTGGTTCTCCTTTTTGGCCTTTAGATCCAGGGTAGCCAAATCCAGCACTGCCCTAGGGAGGAGAGGGAGATGGGAAAGGGTGGCAGGTCTCTGAGCTGGCAGCCTGGGTAGGGCATGGCTCTGTGCCAGCTCCCACAGTGATGCTCACCTTGACACCCAGGTCTCCTTTCTCCCCCTGAAGATCAGAAATAGAAAGAAATGTGTGTCAAACACAAGTGTCACCAGCACCCTCGAGCCCCTAGGGATCAACTCTCACCCACCTTTTGACCCTTGACACTGCCTGGCCCTACAATGCCATTGGTCCCTGAGTCTCCTTTCAAGCCACGTTCCCCCTTCTCTCCCTTTTCGCCTTTCTGACCGGTGCCTGTGGAAAAGGAAAAGGACCCAGTCGGGGCTGAGGATGGCCACACCACCACCATGTCCTCACCTGTGCACCCTGGGGAAGAGGAAAGCCACTGGAATTACCTCCCGTGGAGACCCGCAGTGTCTCCTCTGCTCTGGTCCTCTCGGCTTGCTGCGGGGACCCCCCGCCACTCCTCGGGCCACTGCCCCCCGCCACGGGGGGGGAGGTCACGGGGACAGCATCCAGCAGCCCTGGGACACCCTGCACCAACAACGAGGGGACACCATGACACCCTTCACCTCCCAGTGCCTTCCCATAATGGACAGGTGCTGGGATATCATCAACCATCCCATGACCTCAGCCATGCAAGGCACTCAGCTCTCTGCATCATGAGAATTTTAGGGTCCTGCCCTGAGTGCTACACCTGCTGGCAGCAACTCACCTCGACCTTGCCTGAGGGCTGCTGTCCACCTTCCATCCCGCTGCCAAAATCCCCAGAGACCTGCATTTGCCCATGGAGAAGGGGTGAGAGCTGAGCTGGGAGCATGGTGGGGGCACCCCTGAGCCCTCCCTGGCCATGCTGCCAGTGCTCACCTCTGTGTCATCCTCCTCTTCCTCACACTGGCGCTCAGCCGCCCGAGGGTCCCCTCGGAGCTTCAAATCTGCAATGACCCCCTGCAAGGAGACCGTGCATGGGTGGGGGACATGGACAAGCCACCCAGCTGTGATGTGACCTGCTGTGCCACTCAGCCACCACATCCTCATGTGGGAGAAAAAGGATGGATGAGATCTGCTGTGCACACTGCAAGCAGGTGGAAAAGTTCACCACCCAGCTGGGGGCATTTGCTTGTGAGAGGAAATGATATAATTTTTTAATTATACATAAACTATGTATTTATAATATATTTATTATATAACTTAATCTACTTATAATTCATTAGTATTATGTCACAGTCAGCCTAGCTGAACTGCAACTGCCCTGATCCCTATTTTCCTAAGTCCATCACATTTCCTTGTCTGGACGTGGTGCCCTGTACTTTCAGGCCAGCTCCAATATTATTTTTGTTGTCTTGCCCAAAGAAGAGACACCAAGGGGGAGGTATCTCCTCTCTCAGAGTTCACTTCCCAGCATGGTCCCCTGCTCCTCCCCACTGAGATCAGACAGATGGGCAGCATCCCAGCTTGGCAGACTCCCATCCCCACAGCATCCCTGTGCCCCATCCTGCAGCCAGGACTCAGGCTGGGCTCTGGGATGTGCTGGGTGATCCCGCTTGCAGTGGGAGCTGTGGGGTTCAGACTGGGACCCGCACCACCTCTCCTGCTGAGTCCCGGATGCTACAGAGGTTTGGCTGGAGGCAGCATCCTTAGGAAGGGATTTGTGGTGGTTTCTTGTATAAACAAGTGGCCTGGATGCACACGGTGCTTGCAAAACACAAATAAATAGTAAGGAAGTGCAGATTATCCCAGGAAATACAACACGTGGGCTGCAGAACCTGCCAGCTGTCCTTGCGTGGGGCAGGGCAGTCAGCTGTGGCCAGGGAGCCCTCAGCAGAGGAAAAACAAGGAGCACAGCCAAAAGATCCCTGTAAAAGCTCTGCTGGGTGTCTGGCCGGGTCCTGGCTGCTACCTCTGCTCAGCCCATGTGATGCCAGCTCTGGCACATGGCTTGTCCAGCCATGCTGGTGGTGCTGGGCAGTGGCTGCAAGGTTGAAACCTGGGGCTTTCCAAAGGCATGGCAAAAAAGCCACTTCTAAGCCCTGAAGCAAGGCAGTCCCACAACAGATGGTGATAGGGGACCTTTGCAGCCTCTTTGCTCTGATAAAGAGAGCAGCAGCACCAAAGATCTTATAGTAAATCCATAGAATCATGGAATCATTAAGGCTGGAAAAGCCCTCTAGGACCATTGAGTCCAACAATTAACCCAGCGCTGCCAGGTCCCCCACTAAACCATGTTCCCAAGTGCCACTTCCAGCTGCAAACGAATCCTCCTGCCAGGCCCTAGCTGAGACCCCATTTGCCCCTGTGAGAGCTGCTGTCCCAGGGGCTTCTGCATCACCTGCAGGCTTTGCCCCTCCAGGTTTCCTGCCACAGCCACAAAGGCGATTCAGGAAGGAGCAGAGGTGCCAGGACACTCCTCCAGCTGCCTCCCAGCAAGTTCATCCTGAGGCTTGACCCAGGGCCAGGCTTTAAACCACTTGATGCCCCATTAGTTCCAGATAACAGGAGGCAGGGCTGGCTGGACAGTGATAGAAACACCACGAGGCAGTCAGATGCCGCTCCCCTCTCGCCCAGCCAAGGCCTCCTTCCCTCCTAGGCCAGCTATTCCCCATGGGAAAACCGGGGGTGGGCAGTGGGATCAGGGGTTGGCAAGCCTGGGAGCATCACCTGCTAAAAGGGTCTGCTCTGCTCCAGGCTGTTGCTGTGCCTTCCATATGGTGCCAAACCCCTCAAGCTGGGGAGAGGAGCTCCTCCACAGCCATGACCTGGCCCTCCCCGCATGTTCAAGAGCAAAGAAATTGCTCTTCAAGAGCAGAGTTGCTCTTCAAGGGAGCAATCGGAATCCCAGTGCAAACCAGTTTGTAGCCCATCAATGATTAACCCCTTCCTGGGGGAGCTTTCCCTGCCCAAAGCCATTCCAGGGGGGAATGTGGCAGTACAGTCAGGATGATGTTTAAGCTCAGAAACGTGCTTTGCAGAACTCCACAGGAAAAACATTGCTCCCCTCAGCAGAGCCTCTGTTGCTGGGCAAATCCTGCTCAGCCCAGGATAAACCTGAACATTCCTCTCCTCAAGTCCTGCAGGGAATTTCCATGTCAGCTGGGCATTTTCCCCACACTTTCCACAACCCTTATCTGGAACACAAGTCCTGCTCAAAGCACTGGCTGAGCTATCACATCCTTCCTCACCCTCCAAAGTCTTCCTGCAGATACTGCCCAACATCAGCCAGCAAAGATATCCTCTAGCCCAAGCATTTTTTCCATGTAAGGGAGACATTTTCCCAGACAAACCAGCTTCTCCACCAAAGGAGCTGGGTATTTTTAGGAATGGGAACAACTGAAGAGGCTCCATGTGTTTGCTGGGAAAAGGCAATGGTGGGACCTGCATGGCAACCCCATGTCCTCCTGCCAGCCCAGCTTGAGAGCTTTGCCTTGGTGAGCCCCAAGACAGTAAAGCAGTGGCATCTCAAGCCACCTCCATGTCACATGTTCCCTTTGCCAGGGACACACATGGAGCTGGTTGTCTTCTGGGCATGGGCAGTATCACATGTCTCCAGGCTTTTGGGAGATAGTCCTTGGGGTGACCCAAGCTCTTACCTGATATTTATCTGGGTCAGCCCCTCCAGCCTGAGCAACAAAGAGCCCAGAGCCCTCTTCCAACTCCATCTCATCTGGGGAGCGCTCAAAGTGGACACGCTCGTGCTCCTCACAGTCCAGGTAGAGGACAACTTCCTCCTCCTCCACACTGATGGCGAAGCGCGTCCACTGGTTGAGCAGGGTGGGCACAGTGAAGGTGGCAGCCGGGTAGGAGCTGGGCGAGCCCGGCTCCGTGTAGTAGAAGATGATCTGCTGCTGGCCCGCGCGCAGCTCTGAGAGCTTGACGCCCACATAGATGATGCTCTGCGAGGAGTCCGTGACGGCAAAGAGCACACCGGCCCGGGGCGTGGTGGGCTGGATGTGGAACAGCAGCGAGAAGTCTCGGTAGAACGGGCTCGGCAGGTGGTACCGGGCCACTTGGCCCGTGTTGGCATTGGGACCAAAGACGTAGCCAGGGTTGTTGTCGGGGCCATAAATTCTGTGGATCTCTTCCGTTGGCGGGTCCCCAATCAGCTCCAGCAGGCTGATCTCAGCACTCAGGCTCTCTGCAAGGAGGAAGGACAGGGGATAGTCTCAGTTCCAGCCAAGGATGGTCACTCAGCAAGGACACCCCTGCCTGTGCCTCCCAAATACACTGTCCTTCAGTGGCTCCCTCCACTCACCAGCCCCAAGATTTGTGTGTTGGCCGAGACAGTCACCTTCAGCTGCTCCCACTACATCATTCAGATACATCTCCCAAAATGCTCCCCATTCCCAGCTGCTGGCCCTCCAACCACAGCTGGGACATCATAGAATCATAGTATGACTTGGGTGGAAAGGGACCTTAAAGACCATCTCATTTCAATCCCCCTGCCATGAGCAAGGACACAATCCACTAGACCAGGTTGCTCAGATTCCCTGAGATGGGATAAAACCAAAGGGGTCTTGCCCATGCTAGGGAGATGCTGCTGGAGCACGAGGATGCTGAACCACCATGGAGCCCTGGGGCAGTGTGTTGCATCCATAGTCATTCCGGGACCACAGTAACCCCTTGCATCATCCCAGTACAAGATCCAACGGTCACCCCAGCTGGGAATTAATCAGAGCCATCCCCTCGCAACACCCTGGGAACGCAGCTCAAGCCAGCTCAGCTTCCCAGATGCTCTCAATTTGGAGGTCGCCTCCTTTCCCAACCCCTATTGAGAATTAGGGAATTGGGGAAGTTCTGCTGGAGAGAGTCTCTCCTACCCAGCACAGCTGAACATCTGGTGAGGGTGAGCCAGCGCTGTGTCCGCCAGCTCCCGTTGTTCTGGCAGCCAGCACATCCTCATCGCCCACACACCGGGTGCTGGATTCCTCCTCTCCTATGTCAACTGCTTGGGGCCAGTGCCAGCTCCAAAGGAGAGGCTTTTTAACCTCTCCTTTCCTGAGAGGGAGGAAACCCAACCACCCTGGCTCTGAAACTGCTGAAGGATCTGCACTGGGAATGGATGCTCAGCGCTGAGTTTTGGCCCCATCCTGAGCCAGGAGCAGGAGCTGACACAATTCAGTGTCCCCAGTTCCATCGCTGATTTTTACGTGAGCAATGGGGAGTGCGGGAAATCAGAGGTGTATCCAGAGGTAACCTGGGCTGAACCCAGGAGGATCAGCCAGGAACTTCCACCCAACTCTGAAGCCAGGCATTTTCCTCCAAAGCTCTTTAAAAAAAAGAAAAAAAGAAGAAAAAAAGAAAAGAAAAAGAAAAAGAAAAAGAAAAAGAAAAAGAAAAGAAAAAGAAAAAGAAAAAGAAAAAGAAAAAGAAAAAGAAAAAGAAAAAGAAAAAGAAAAAGAAAAAGAAAAAGAAAAAGAAAAAGAAAAAGAAAAAGAAAAAGAAAAAAGAAAAAGAATCAGCTCAGCTTTGCCCAGCCCAAAAGGAAAACACATCTCTTGGGATGGTGATGAAAACCTGGGTGCCTCTTCCAAAGCCTGAGACATGGAACATTCCCAGGCTCCCCTACTGCCAAGCCCCAATGCCAGCAACAGACCCATGACAGAGACCCAGCAGTGGGCACATAAGAACTGCCACCAACTAAAGGTGGGGGCAAACTTTTGCTCTGTCAGAGCCAGACACACTGATCCTCTGAAACTCTGTCTCTGAAACTGCTCTGTGTCCACCCTGCTCCCCAAGCCCCCAGTCCCTCCCAACCTTGGCACCCCAAAACTGAACACCTCACTGGGAGAAAATCTCCTTCCCAGTCTTTCCACCAGTTCTAGCCCCTTCATGTGCCTTGCACTGGGATCAGGCTTCCCCATGGGGCATCCCCAGTCTGCTGAGAGGAGAACCTCTGGATCCTGGAGTCCAGCACCCTTTCACACCCAGATGTGCACAGCCCTACACCAAACCTGATCAGGTCAGTGAGTGGGGCTCCCCCAGACCCTTAGCCTGTCACCCATCCTTGAGTCACCCCATGCTCAGTACCTCACAAACTCATTCCAACTGCAAATGCCAGGATGCAGGGACTGCGTTTATCTGGGGTTGGAGGAAGTAAAATTAATGGCAGCTTTAAGGAAAAAGGAAACCAGAGCTTCCTCCCAGGGGTCTACACGGGGCATAAGAGACAGTGCTGCAATTCCTGCAGCCAGACAAGTCACTGTGTCCCCCCCAGAGCTCAGGATGACGGGACACGCTGAAAGAGGCTTTTGTTAGCAAGGCAATTTGCAACCATTCTCCCCTTGGAGCTGCAGCCGGCTCTGGAGTCTCCCTCCTCCTCAAACATGCCACTCGCCCCCAAGTCCAAGTCCAGGGTGGGAGCTGGGTGCTAGCACTTCCCAAAGCAAATGAACTTTTTTCCTGTGTGACAGAAGCTGGATGGGGACTGGGGAGCAGAGGGGTAAGGGGAGACCCCTTCAAATATCTGCTCCCCTACAAAAGCCAAGTGGCCCTTCTCATTCCCAGAGCTTTCAGGCCACACCTGCTTTTTCCAAAGGGCATCCAGAACCCAAACATCACAGCCCATCATCCCTGTGGCAAACTGGGGATGCACCAGAGAACATGGAGAGTTGATGGGGACCACAGTGAGTTTGGTGCTGGCACGGGATGGCTGTGGGGATGTCCCTGGACACAGAGAATCTGCCATTGGAAATGTCCCCAGGATGCTCCAAGCCACCTTCCCACTCTGCCATGGCCTTCCTGGTTGACCTGAGCCCAGGCTGCCAGTGTGGGATTCAGGGGATCCCCAGCACACAGCAGCACATCAAGTCACTCCATGGAGTGCACCACAGCCCCCACATTCCCCACTCATTCCTGACACTGCCCATCCAAGCAACCACAGTGCAGTCCCAGATAGGAATGCGCCTCCTCTGCAAGCATCCCCATGATCCCAGTGCATCCCCCTGCAAACAGAGCCTCTTTGACACCGAGGGGACCCTGTCCTCGACCCTGGTTTTCCAGCCCCCAGTCTCAGCATTCCTCCTTGGCATCTCCCGGCCATCCCCCGAGGGCACAGGGGTCGGCACGGGAACACAGCCTCATTCAGAGGCTTTGGCGGGGGGGGAGCTCCAGCTTTCATCCCAACTGCATTTCTCCAAGCACCAGTCACCTCCCTCCCCACTCCCTTCTCTCACCCCCTGCCCTGTCTGGGTCCCTAAAAGGTCACAGCCACCGAATTATGAAGCTGGGAGTGAAGTAACCTCTCCCTCTTTTCCAAGCAGCAGGGATCAAACATTAGCCGCCATCGAGTGAATCATTAATCCCAAAGGGCTGCTCCAGGAGAGGGGAGCATGTGGGCATGGCTGAGGGTCACCTTGAAACCTCCTCCTCGCCAACACGGTGCTGTGGCTAGATGGCCACAGGGTCTGCATCCTTGCCCTGTACCTGCAGGGAGCTGCCAGCTCTCCAAGTGCTCTGATCCCAGCCAGGACACCCCAAAGCCCTGTGGCACCTGGAAACTGGCCCTAAATGCCAGCACAATGCGCTTGGGGAGTACCCCCTGTGCTGGGTGGATGTGATTCACCGGGACTGATGCTTGGTCCTGTGAAGGGACCCAAAACTCACTGGTTCGGCTTGGAAAAGCCAAGGCTGGATAGAAAGTGATTTTGGATTTGGCAGCATTGCGTGGGCACAAGGCAGAAGCATCCCCCTGGGGATGCTGGGCAGGGGAGCAGGCGGTGGAGTCTGGGCAGGGGAGCCTGGGGGAGTCTGGGCAGGGGAGACACAACACAGGGACATTGCCCAGCCACGTTACCTGCAGAAGCATTAATAAAGACACAAGAAACCCCTTCATCCTCCTCAGGAAGAGCATCGCAAGGCAGAGGCAGGTGCCTGCCGGCCAAGGGAGTCCAACACAGGTCTCTGATGGCCTCGCAGAAGCCCTGGCACGGCGGGGGGGTTATGGGGACCGAGGGGCTACAGCCGGGGAGCAGCAGCAAGCAGAGGAACCACTCCAGGTAGCGATGGCACCGTGACTCAAGCAGCCCCTCCCACTCATGCAAAGCCGCCCGAATTTCCTCCTCGCTGCCATGTTGAAGGTAATTTGGCAGTCGGACATGGGTGGTGCCCAGCACGCTGCAGAAGGGCAGGTGGGTCGGGATGGGCTGGCAACGGCTGGCCACTGGCATCAGTCCTGGAAAGAAGGATGTGGGCCCCGCGCCGTCACTCCTGTAGAGCTGCATGGTAGCGCTTAGTAAATCAAACTCCAGAGGGACAGAGTTATCGGCAGTAGGAGAATCCACACCCTTATCCACCCTCTGGTCAGGCCAAGGGGGGCTCTGGCTCCCGCTCCTGCTGGCCAGAGCCAGCCCTAGGTTGCGTGATGCTGCGGGGAAGTAATGGAGAGGTTGTGCCAAGGGGTCCTGGAAAGACACCGCCTGCTCACGGGTACTGTCACCTGCTGAGAAAGGAAAAGGGGCACTACCTGGCTGGAGACCTGCTGGTCTCTGCAAGGACACCTGTGACTCCATTGTAGGAGTTCCCATCCCCAGGAACTCTGGGTCTTCAGGGGTCACTGTCCTCAGGAGCTGTGGGTTCTCAGTGTTCCCTAGGAACTCTGGGTTCTCGGTGGTCACTGTCCTCAGGAGCTCAGTGTTCCTCACCACCAGGAGCTGCAGATTCTCAGTGGTCCTCGTGCCTGGGAACTCTGGGTCTTCAGAAATCCCTGTCCCCAAGGGCTGTGGGTCCTCAGTAGTCCCTGTCCCCAAGGGCTGTGGGTCCTCAGTGGTCCCTGTCCCCAAGGGCTGTGGGTCCTTGGTGTGCCCTGCCACCAGGAGCTGCAGGTCTGTGGTGCTCATCATCCCCAGGAGCTGTGGGTCCTCAGTGGTGCCCAACCCCAGCAGCTGCCGGTCCTCAGTAGTCCCTGATCCCAGGAGCTGGGGGTCCTCGGTGGTTCCCATCCTCAGGAGCTGTGGGTTCTCAGTGGTCCCTGACCCCAGCAGCTTCAGGTCCTCAGTAGTCCCTGTCCCCAAGAGCTGTGGATCCTTGGGGGTCACTGACCCCAGGAACTGGGGGTCTTCAGTGGTCCTCATTCTAAGGAGTAGCAGGTTCTCAGTGGTTCCTGTCTCCAGGAACTGCAGGTCCTCGGTGGTTCCTGACCACAAGAGCTGCAGGTCCTCAGTGATCCCTGACCCCAGGAGCTGGGGGTCCTTGTGGGTCCCTGTCCCCAGGAGCTGGGGGTCGTCAGTGGGGCTGCTGGCCACCTGCTGTCCTGGGGCAGGTGACATGCTGTGGAGAGGAGCGATGCTCGGCCACGTCGTGGGCTCCTTGGTTTTGGCTGCGGCTCCCTCACTCACAGGTACTGCTGTAGCAGGATCTGGCTCCTGCTGCCATGGGGTGGTGACATTTCCTGCCACTTCGCCACCCCACATCCCTGGGGACGGGCTGGGAGCTGGAGCCACCGCTGAGGTTGGCAGCTCCGACTCTGGGATTTTCTCACTGGGTAGTTCTGGGCTTCCTGTGGTCTTCGTGCTGTCCCAAACCCAGTCCAGAAGCTGTGTTTCAGAGCAGGAGAAGCAGCAAGCTAAGAGGAGCAGAAACCCCAAGCGAGGTGGGGCCATCGGAAAGGGAAAACAAGCTCCGTTGCTCCCGAGAGCGGAGTGGAGAGGCTGGAGGAAGGAAAGGAGGGAAGAGGCAGGAGTTCTGTCCAAGCCAGACTCTCGGAGCACTCACATCACTCTCCTCCCAAGCTCCGGCACTCAACCCTTCAAACCGGAGCAGAGCAGGGGGAGGAGTGGCCGGCCCTGCCAAGCCTTCCTCTCCCCAGCGCCAGCCTCCCGCTGCTGGCACAGCCCCTCGGGGACCCCGCCGCCTGCCTGGGGACTCACCTGAGCCCCCAAAACCTCTGGCAGCCAAGCCAGTATTCAGACCCACCCCATTGCCTGTCCCAGCAGCTGCTGCCAGATGTTTAACTCCTTCCTGCCTGGAACATCCTAAATAGTCTCTCCCTGCTCGATGGCTCTGGTTAAATCACCAGCATACAGAGCTGTACAAGGTGGGGTCGTGCATGGACATGGTCGTCATGGTCCTCATGGTGTGCCCAGCTTTGGTGGGACACCCCACTTCAGCCTCGGGAAAAGGTTATAATCTCAGAGCAAAACTGAACGAGGAGGGAAACAAATACCAGAAAACATTTCCAACATTTTCACCAGCCGGAAACAAATCAAGTCCCCAAAGCCAAGTGTTTAAAGCCGCTTTCCCGGCTCGGTTACAGGGCCAGGACCCCCCAGGTGCTGTCGCAGGACGGCCAGGGGAGCACTGCAGCTTTCCTGCCCCCCCAGGCATCACGCGCCAGCAACGCCTCAAAGCCAGGTCTGAGCAATCACAAGTTTCCCAATCACAAGTTTTCCTGGAGCTTGGGAAGAAAATCTTTCATGGGCAGTACTGGCACTCTCCCACACCTCAAAAATTTTGATTGTTCTTTGCCTCTGCTTAAAAAAGTTACCCTCAAATCCACTTATCCAGCTTAGGTGACGGTGCCCCTCATTCCTATGGATGGCCAAGCAGAGATGGAGCATTCCCAGGGCCTACACTACCGTGGTGACACCAGGCAAGTCACCTCCATGGCTCAAGAAGTGTCCCTGAGACAGGGTTTTGATGGGGAGGTGACAATTTTGGCTCCCCTTGGCTGTGTGTGACCAGGAAGGTCAGAGTGTGCCGTACCATGGTCCTACAGAGTAGAGATCTCCACATGCTGGAGCTGATGCTCCAGTTTAAAAATATTCAGGAAAATCACCAAGACAAATGCTCAGATGTTCATTTTGCTTTATGCAACATTTCCCACACTACTTTTGAAGCAAAACAGGCGAGTTTTCCCCTGAAATTGGGAGCTGGCTGCTGCTGCCAGCAGCTCTCCCTGTGACCGATGCTGTTAGGGGCGCCTGCTGTGGAACAGCCTCCACCAATCCGCACGGGGCACGGGTTTGTCCAGATGGCAGAGCTTCCATATGGCCCCCTCCCAGAGCTCCAGTACTTCCATCAGCCTGGGGAAGGAGCCAGGTGCCTGCCAACCTTCTCTGGCGTGTCCTGACGGGCTTGACTGGCCTGGGGCCAGGGTGCGGTGCAGAACTCCTTGGCACATCGAGAGGAATCAGAGTGACTGCTGCTTCCATTCCCAGTGGTGGGATGGAAAACCTTGGTGTTCCTGGAGCCTCTCCCCACCCCAGAGCTGTGTGGCTCCAGTGTGGGGAGCATCACATGCCCCCATGAGCTGCCTGGTCTCTGCCAGGAGGATTTGGAGAGCAGCACCCTGCTGGGGTAGCCCAAGCATGTGCAGACAGGACACACAGCTAGAGAAATTCTCACTTCTCCCTTCTGCTGGAATTAGGCAGCTCATGACAGTGGAGTGCAGCAGCAGCCCCGTGGGACACCCTCATTAAGTCAATGATCTTCATTTCACTGCACACCTCCTCACTGGAAGCTCCCCAGGAAGGAGCCAGGGCTGGAGCATCCCCAAAAAAGGGATTTCCAAATTAGGTTCCCTGAGGGTGGGCAGGTGGCATGGGTGGCATGGGTGGCACTAGAGCATCTTGGTCCAGTGCAACCAGCTCTACCACTGACCAAGTAGCCAGGCAGGGACTGGGAAGGCAGCAGCTGCTGAAATATTTTGGAGAAGTATTCCTACAGGGAGAAGCCATGGCAGGTGGCTTGCTGGCAGAGCAGAGAAAACCCCTTGCTTTTGCCTCCTCCAAGCTAAAAGCTCACAAAAAGCGTTTTGCACACTCCATGAGATGCTGCTGCCAGCTTGCCATAACCTTGGACTTCTTGAAAAGCAAAATTGGACCCTCACCCTGGTCCCAGTTCCCTCCCAAAGAGGCTGACTGCATCTTCCCAAAACTGTCTGGCATCTTGTGCTGCAACATAGTTCCTTAGGAAAAGGGGGATTGGGCTGCCCGAAGAAGGCACTGAGGGCTCAGTCCTGGGCCAGAAGAATAGAGGGGGGAGAGGGGAGAAAGGGGGGAAAAGGGAAATGAGAGAAAAAATCAGAGGTGGGGGAAAAGAGTGGAGATGGGAAGAAAAGAGATTGGGGGAAGAGGGTGGGGGGGAAGAGGGTGGGGGGAAAGAGAGTGGGGAGAAGAGAAGGGGAAAATGAGAGGGGAGGAAGAGGGAAAGAAGTAAAGAGAAAAAAAGAGATTGGGGAAGTCAAGGAAAGGGTGGGAAGTGGAGGGAAGTGTGTGGAGGAAGTGAAAGAAGTGGAAAATGACAGTAGGAAAGGAGAGAGAAGGAAAGAGAAAAGAGGGGAGAAAGGACAAAAGAGAGGAAAAAAGAAGAGGCAGAAAAGAGGAAGGGAAAGAACAGAGAAAATAAGAGAAAAAAGAGAAGAAGGGAATCAGAAGGAGGAAAAGAGAGGAGGACAAGGCAAGAGGGGGGAAGGGGAGGAGAAGAGAAAGAAAAAAAGAGATGGAAGAAAAAAGAGAAAAAGAGAGTGAAAAAGGAGGAAAAAAGGGGGGGAGGAAGGGGAAAATAGATAAAAATAGGAAAAAAGAGCCTGCCATTCAGACCTGCAGCCTTTTATCCGTGGTCAAAGGACACCGATGTTTCTCTCCAGGGAGGATTGCTTTCCCTGCAGGATTTGGGGAGAGGACAGGGAGCCTGCTGCAGCCCAACTCAGCAATTCGTCCTGCACAGGCCAAGAGCTGGGCAGATGGATGGACAGGCAGAGAGACGGATGGATGGACAGCAGAGGGAGCCTCAGGCTGAGCGGAGCGCAGACACTTCCTCAGGAGACCCCACTTGGCTGGACACAGCCCTGACATCACAGAACTCCGGGCAGAGACTGGGAGGGAGTAGGGGTGGGCAAAGCCCTTCTGGAACCCGGGGAAGGGGAAGGGGAAGGGGAAGGGGAAGGGGAAGGGGAAGGGGAAGGGGAAGGGGAAGGGGAAGGAGAAGGAGAAGGGGAAGGGAAGAAACCCTGATAGGAGCACAGGCAGAAAGCCGGAGGTGGGAACACTCTTGGACTTAGCAGAAAAATTCAAGGACTGTCAGCAGGTATCTATAAATCCTATTGACATTTGGGATTCTAATCCGTTCTCCATCTGAAAGCCCCACACAGCAGTTGAAAGGCTCTCCTGGAGATGTACGCCAAGGATGTTGCCACATCCGGAGCCGCTGACCTCCCCTGCGGCCAGTCCCGGAATGAGGCACCCAGGCCATGGGTGGGCGTTCAGCCAGGGACATGGGGAGGCGGGAGACAAGGGTGCACAGGAGCCGAGCTGGTGGGAGTGACAGCAGCCAGCCCAGCCCCAAAAATGACACAGGTGCCGCTCTGCCAGGCTCTGCTGTGCCTCTGGGACAGTGCTCCCCCCTGCCTCTGGCTGTGCAGCACCATGGAGCCCCCGGGACCGCAGCGTTCCTAAACATTTACTCATGGAGAGCCAGAAACATCCTCCTGGCAAATTTCTCGATAAGATAAACCGTGAAAATGTCACAACTGCCTGCGGGAGCCATCAAATAGCCCCAGGAGGGAAAGAAGGGTGGTCACGTCCAGACCCCTGTCATTACCTGCATCCTCCTCCTGCCCCTGAACTGAGTAGGGCTGGAAAAGGCACAGCCAAGAGGTGCTGGTGTCCTCCTCTGCCCCATCCACATGGACAAGCGGACAAGGCAGCAGAGAATTGGGGCTGGAGTGACTTTGGCCACTGGAGGTTTCCTGGGGAGAATGGATGGTGGAGAGGGATGATCAATATTTGGGCGCAGCCAAACCCAAAGGAGGTGTATAAAACTCAAGGTGAGTTTGGGGTGAGCTGTAGCTCCCAGTCCCCCCCCATCCTGCCTCCACTGGGGCCATGTCTCTGCTTCCAATCACTCACCTGCCCCCGGAGCCAACCGACAGCCCGGAGATAAGGTGGGGAAGGCAAGGGAAGGAATGCAACCCCCTGGATCATCCTCCTCCACATTCATAAATCATCTTGCAGACTAATTGCTCCCTGGACAGGAGAAGACTCTGCTCCTCACCCCCCACCAAGGTTCTAGCTCACTCAGGACAGGCAGCTGGTGGAGGGTGTTGGCTGCAGTCTCCCTGAGGGACAAGGAGGAAGTGCGTTCCCATTCCTAGGCATTTCTTTCCCTGAGGATACAGGGAGACCAATGCACCTGGCACCCCAGTTACCTCAGAATCTGTAGACAGATTCTGCAGTAGCAGGATGAGGGGAGATGAGGGATGGGATGGAGGGTTTGTGATCCAACTTGATGCCATCCGAACCAGAGAATCAGAGGAGAACAAGGCACCCAGGTGGGTACATGTCCCCAGAGTTCAAACAAACCTTTCCAAGCCAATGATGTCCCCTAACCATGCCAGGATTTTAACCCTCCAACATGATGGAGAAACAACGCACTGTCAGTGGGTAACCCAGCACCAGCTTTGAAGCCTACACAACAAAAACTGGGAGTTGCCTATCCCCAGCTGTTTTCCAGGACTTCAGAAGCAAAGAAAACACCAGCACAGCTTAAAAACCCCAATTCACCAAACAAAGTACAGAAGAGCTACCAAGTGATGTACCTGAAGCTACAACAGAGCGTCACAGCCTCCATCCCACAGAAAAGTATCCGTCCTGCCCCCGCCCCAGCCAGGGATGCTGGGTGCCAGCTGGTCCGTGCTGCTGCAGGAGGCAACTGCCACAGCTCATGGATGCTTTATAGAGCCTCACCATGGATTTTCAGGGAGGAAAACCACCTG